GGCGAGGATCATCTGTAGTTGTTTTTCGGGGGTGTCTGCATAGGCGGCGATCAATCTGGATTTTATGCTTTCGTACTTTGTCTCTTCTGTTGGGGGGTTGGCGACCAAATCGGCAACCGGCTGGAGCGTCGCGCAGTCTAAGGCGGTTACCACGGTCCAGTACTTGGTCTGGTCGGACCTGATTCTCGCGCAATTAAATTGGGCTTCGACTTGTGCAAACCAAAGCACCGGGTCTCGCTGCCAGAATGTCGGTAGCTTCAGATTTGAACCACTTCTTACCTCATCAAGGGCTTGTTTGTTGGAGATGGTAGCCAGTTGTGTCTGGAACTGGCAAATTATTTCTTGTTGTTCCTGCAGTTTCTTTTGCATTTCTTCCATGGTGCTAGCTCTTCCTATTTTCTTTCCGGGGTCACCAATGTGGAAATGACTAACACCAGGTAGGGTTTCTCTATAGTTTATTTACAAACGGATATCTTACACGTGGAACCGGAGACGGTACCCATCTTCTTCGTTTCGATGTCGGCGGCAGAAGAAAGTACTTGCCGTACTCGCGCCTCCTTGTGTCCCCAGTTGGTCTCTGCGTCGGCGCCAGGCTAACCAATCACGAGTGGTGTTCGGTGAGCATATTGAGTTGCCTACTCGTAGGCGAGAGGAAGTAGTACGTGTGCGTTGTGTTGCCTACATTAACATCACAGCAACGCCACACTGTAATGGATACTTCAGAAATAGCTCGTTTAAATTCCATGAAATTTTAAGAATTCAGGCACGTTAAAATTAGTATTTGCACATATCAAAATTAAAGTATTTTATCTCGATAAACAAGTTGGTGACGTCATCTTATAAAATTATTATGCCCTACAGGTTGACTTAAGATTAAAGATTTGTTCACTATTTAATACAGGAAATGAGTAAATAACTTTTACTTATGCTCCGTAATCCCTGAAACAGAGTTGATATTTTTCCACCATTTCAAAGTTTGTTCGTAATTTCTGTGGTGAAGTTTTAAACTGCTGGCGAAATTTTAAATCGTAATTAAAGGAGGAACTCATGCTATACCTTTCAGTAAGATTTACTTGGCAAAATTTTTAAATGATGCTAATTATTTTTTAAAGAAGGCGAATAAATAGGTACATTTTGTTTGAGTATTGTATTATCTTGATAATAAACTTAAGTACAATTAAAATTTAAGATTAACTGATATGTTGTTTCAGAGATAATTCTTTCAAAATGTTTTGTCATACCGATGACGACACAGGGAAAAGAAAAAGCTCATAAAGAAAACATGGAACTAGACAAGAATAAACTTACATAAATCAGACTTTCGTAAAACATTTATTTAGTAATAACAAAAAACAAGAATAACATTTATTAAATTAGTTTCATATTATGTTACATATTTCATCATAGCAACTTTATGGCATTATATGTAAGTAGGTATTGTACATACCTATAATAATTGAACATGTTTATATGGTTTCTTTTGTTTTAGATACCTTCTGCCATCACAGAAAAGCTCTTCTTATTATAGTATTTTGTAGATTTGACACTTACACAGTTCTTATCTCACTGTACTTACCTGTGTAGATATGCCCTCCTGAATATTTTATGATGTTATTATTAGCATTTTTTGGAAATTGTATAATTTATACAGGGTTAGTCACGAGAGAATTACTTCTGAAAATTATTTTTACGCAACCCAAAATACTAATACCCTGTACCACTTGATATTATCTGAATTTAAAATGAAATGCCTAATCCATGATTGCTTTGACTTTGGCAGTGTCACTTTGACGTTAATTAATTTTTAACATTTTTTTTTTCATCGTTGACTCGCCTTTAGAGCCCCATTGGATCGACGACATACAGTCAGATCAATCTGGGCTATACTAGAGTCCCTGTAGACTCTACAGGGACTCTAGGCTATACTGAAGCTGTAAGTGCTCTACCAATGTTGTTCGCCGCTAATGTGCATGTGTTAATTCGCCATCTCTGCGTCACCTAGAGCCTCTTCGAAGTGCAAATCTGCAACCTCTGGACTTCTTCGGCCATCCATTTACAAAAAAGCCGTAGCATCCCCCCAAAATGCCCAACATTTTCAACAGATTAGTAGTTAAATTATTTACTTACTTGTTTGAGTTTGTGTTGTAACCTTTGAATAAAATTCCGTAAAAGGAATTTTTAGAAATAATTTTCTCGTGATTAATCGGTTGCAAAAGATCAAGAGGCACACTGACAAATTTATTAGCGGCGCCGGAGGAGATTTCCGACTGGCTGCGGTACCACCATGGACACTCGCGTAACCTCCTTTTCCACAATTGTCAAAATGAGATTGCCAAACTCAAAGCAATCATGGATTAAGCATTTTATTTTAAATTCAGTTAGTATCAAATGGTACATGGTATTCGTATTTTGGGTTGCGTAAAAATAATTTTCAGAAGTAATTCTCTCGTGACTAACCCTGTATATGCTTAGCATAACATTTTTCAAATTTGTATTTATTTTTCTCAAGTAATGCATATAATTTTATGAAAAATAAACACACACGCGAATTAATTTTTGTTGAAAGTCATAGGTATAGCATGACTCACTTTCATTCATGCTCACCATTCGATATTCATGTTGCATTACGCTATGTGTAATGTTTGAGATTTGAACCATAAGTAATTGTTACGAGTTATAAGGTATGATTAATTCATTCATTATAAGTACGGCAAAAATTGGCGTCCAACAATTTTTTTTTTCGCTATTCTAATAAATTATAAATATTTGGCATTTTGTGTATACTTACCATGGATAATGATCAGATGTGACTAAAATAAGGCATGAAAAAGTGCCTTCAGAATTATTTCAATTTTATGATGCGATCCTTTTATAAAACTTTTTTTCTAGGGATAAATTTTAATAACTTTTTTGGAGACACGCTGAAAAGGTACGATGTTTTTGACATTTTTTAAATGATATTTACTTGTTTTGTGTAAATACATATACAACGTAGTTGAGCGGTATTAGATTGTGTAAAAAATATATTGAAAAATAATTGGTTTCTCACGATATCTTGCAGACAAAAGAAGAGATTTGCATAAAATAATCTCTTGACAGTAGTTAAGGTGCAATTACGCTAGTTTGTTATCGTCCGAGCGGACATGTCCGGAAAGTAATGAACAATGAAACCCGTTTTAGAACATTCGCATTTTTGTCAGTGACCGATTATAACTGACAGTTGTAAACATTACCACACCATAATACATTTCACGTTGATCGATGTTTGCTACTTTATAAACAGGGTCTACATGATTTATTAGTTAACGAAATCGTCCGCTAAACAAACTAGTGCCACTGAGATAACTATCTCTATTATTTTTATAGTACTTTGATAATTTTTCAGTTTCTTCATAGATATTTTTTTGTGATATTTCCATCAAACTGGCAACCAAATTTCTGTTTCAATAGACAAAATTTAAAGCTGCTGATCTCTTGAAATCAGACAAGTATTGTCATTTTGTTCAATTTATCAATTCTGTGAAAATTAAATTAAATAACCATCATAGATTCTACTACAAACCGGTTAGCAGTACTTAAATTTCTTATATTTTTCTAGTAGCTAGGTAGACTTTAGATAAAAGTGTGTTGCTCCTTAAACTGTACGATTTAATGAATTACAGAGACAGTAAAGGTCATTTTCTATTAAACTTTGTTATATATATATAATACATACATAGTAAATAAAATATACCTAATAGAAATTTTGGTATACAATACTGTGATGATTTCATTCGTTGTGTTCAAGTTAAAAGTTTGACAATGGTATTTATTTGATAATAGAAGTCTCATAATGTAACGCATCTATGCATCCAATTTGGTCCACTCTCCTGTACTTTTTTCCCTGGTACCATCAAGGCGAATATTTTTATTACAATTGTTATCAGATTAAAAAGGAGACATTTTGCAATTTCGTGGAACAGTTACTAGTTACATACTTTGGTAATTAGTTTATTATTTGTTATGACACAATCGATTTATCAGCAATTTCAGAAATATTGTTTACCTATCTTTGATACAACTTATAATTATTAAATGTTTCGTACATAGAAACAAAAACTCGAAAACGGTATGTAGGGGAAATCACGCTACAAAAGAATGGAGAGCGGATTTTTCCTTATTTTGAAATCTAAATCAGGTGGGTATTTAAGAACTGTCAGTGATAACGATGGTTTTCAAAATTTAAAGTAGCCGCTGTCGTCTCATGATGTCATCACCTGTGATAAGAAAATTTAGTGAAAACTGGCAAGTTATGACGCACACTTTTAAAATATGGAGCTGACAAAAAGTATATACAATTAACCTTAATTTACGAGGAACCACCTGTGATTACTCAGGTCTTCCTTAACTATAGTCATCGCTAAGTGATTAGTAATAAAGTCATAAAATAATTTAATGAAATCATCACAAAACAGTTTTTGTGTTGTTTCCAATATTGACTATAAAAATCTAAGGGTTGTGACTTTGTAGTTTGTTTATTTTATTTTTCCGTTTGTGTTTTTATAATTTTTAATGTTCAATATGTTAATAATGCAACATAACTGTTAATGTCTAATAATGTAGATACGTACTTAAATTCATCAAGGTTAAAGTTATAAACTTTTAATATTTGTAAAATGCAAACTTTACGTGATGTTTACGTACCTATATATGAGAAACTCAATATTCATAAAACTTAGCTTTTTTCCATAATCTCATAAAAATCTGCAGGAATTCGACTCCCCTTGAAACCTTTCGTTGATACGGTTATCTCGACCTTGTTTATAAGTAATTCTGAAAAGTGTGATATGTCATTATTTAGACAGCACAATTCAAAAACCATGTAGTTATCAAATGCATTTGTTGAAATTGTTGTACGGATAGGCGGCACGCTGTAATCGCTTTATACGATTCGATTAGTGAGTAAAAGTAAATAATGGGATTTATCCAGGAATTAACGGGTCGGGGTACAAAAACCAAAATTTAAAAGAAATAATAATAAAAAAATATAATGAATGTAAATGTAACAACGTTATTGATTACTTTGTTATATCTTTTCTCAAAGTTACTTTCACTGAAATAATTAACATGTGACAAACAATCCACAGCTAAAGTCGCATTTACATGGCGCGCAACAAGTTACAACAACTTATTACTATAGGTAACTTTCGTATCGTCATATCAGATTTGTAGGCGCCATTTTGTCACCGCCATTTTTAGTATACATTCAGTTTCTAATCGACACTACAGTAAAGGACACGTGACGTCCATAACCTGACCTAATATCTAAACCATAACCTGTAATGTCGTGCAGAAACTTTTCGTTGAAACATGTCAGAATTACTGTATTTGAGTACGGCTATCACATCAATACACGAACATCAACGACTAAAGTACAAATTCTATAACACAGTAAGTACAATCACCATTACGTAACAATAAAAATAACAATAAAATCATCTACCAATCAACAAACTCGACCACCCTTCCCGCGGCTATTCAAAACAAAGAGGAACTGAATTAAACGGAAGTATTGGATTATTCTTCTCTTCCATCAAAGCGGTGGCCATCGCGTCACTCGCTTTTTCGTATTCGCCCAGCGCTTCCAGAACCTTCCCCAAGTTGTACCTGGAACAAATCACGTGGCTAGAGACGCTCAAACGTTCGATAATGCCATTTACCACGTCACGTGATTCTTCGGGTCAATCTTGGCGGCTTCGCGGAAAGTTGTTTCCGCTAGACCCTGCAGTCCTAAATAGTGGTAGACCAGGCCTAATTCCTGAAGAGACTTGACGTGCTGCGGATTGATCGCCACGGCGTTTTGGAAGCACAGTTTCGCCTCGGGCCATTCTTGTTTGTGCATGTGGAGTAGCCCTTTCTACACAAAATACAATCATGTTAAACAAGTTTGCGAAACTTCCATCAAACGGTATAGAGAGAGTGAAATTGGGGTAGTCAAAGTATACGGACCCGAAAAGTGGCTTTATTCCGCATGCTTGGAAGCAGACAATTGCTAAATTATATACGTATAAGTCGATTTCATAATTTCAAGAGATTTTCACGTTTTGGAATTGCTGAGAACTGATGTGTGTTTTTTGGAGATTTGTCTGTCAAGTATTCCTGATGTGCGATATTTTCTCTCAAAAATGCAAAATGATCTTATTAGGCTGCTTAGCTAATATGTAATATATTTGACTACGTAATTTTTATTTTTGGTAGCCATAGGGCACACATAAAATTATTCGAAGTAGGGTTGGGTATGAACATCTAGTACATTTGTTGGTAATCGGAAATAATCAAAATTCCCTAAATTCTGCTTGTTACGTTATGTTGTTTTACATTTAATTAGGTTAGGAAATTTGTCAAATACATAAAACAACAAAAGGAAATTGACAGAATTAAACTTTCTGTTTACATTTTGTGACAACAGTTTTGACGTTTAATAGAAAACAATGCAGTAGAAATTTTTTTGACATGATCGAGTTGTCCACACTAGTAATGTTCGTTGCATTATCATCGAATTTTGAATTGGGTTGATTCTGTAGTTTTATAGCTAAACATAGCCTTATGCTTAGAAATAAAAAGACTATAGATATTATCTAAATACTAAATATAATACATGAAATTGAAAAAATAAGTAAATGAAACTCTACAGGTGACTAACCAAAAAAAGGAAATGAGGGAAACTAGAAATTAAAACACACAGACAGTAGTTATAAAGTAAAATAGTTTCCGATATTGGTATATTTTTAAGTATACTATGCTTCTTGTTTTCAACTACACAAAGTGTAACATACAACTCAGGTCTACGGGTTTTCTACTATGTATATGTTTCTTCTAGTATCAATCATCGATCGGTCGAAGCGGCGTTCGCTAAAGAAAGGTCTGGAAGCGGAAGTCGCGATGGATTCGAGAAAGACCTCGATTGCGAAACATCGAGAAGGGAATATGGGTTTAAATGGAGGCCACCTTCGAGAACGAGATTATTCAGTCGAGCGGCGTGTCGGGAAAAATTATTTTGTACGTAATCGCTGGAATAGTTAATCATGTAAATTCGAGTTATTAAGAACTAAATTGTTGAGTTTTACCCACGCCGATTTTTAATTCACCGACTAACGTCACACTATGTTATTCCAAGTTTCTTGAAATTTTTAAGCAATGGAAGAGTTCACAAAAAATAGGGTTATTTTTAAAGTCTGTGTTACAATATTTTGTGGAGAGATAAATAAAAGTACGCGCTTGGTTACCATATAAATAAAATGGAGTCTAAATATAGTGTTAAAAAAATAATATAAATTACCACAATTTTCAACTACCTATGCTTCAGTCGAAGGCCTATAATTTATTGCTGGATATTACTTTGTTTTTCGTGTTGTTTTGTTTTTAATGGTCTGAAATATTACTAACGTTGTAAGTTCATCGTAAGCATGGTAAATCGTTAATTAAGTTATTCTTTACCCCCCTCCACCCCAAACATTGATGACGTCATTTCTAATTTTTGCCTACTAGTGTGACCCAAAAAATTAACGAATGAGGCAATTTATTTTATTCATTAAATCAAGAAGGGCCCATCCAATTTTCGCGAAAATTTGGGAATGCATTACTGTTATTATTTTAATGATTGAAGGACATTTTTTTATTGGCAATTCTGAATTATTGGCAGCCATGCTAGTATGTCATTTCACAGTTGTCACTTTTGATGTGAGCACGCCTAACAAACGTGTTGATTGGCTGTTAAAACGGGAGGCGTTTACGTGAAATATATGGACATATAATGTAAGATCCCCACGTTGCCAAATTGCACTTAACCTCAATTTGTGGCAATGACAGTGACGTTTATATAAAAAGTAATTAAACTACGCCCTACGTCTTTCCCATCTTTTATTTCCAGAGCCTCGGATCTCCTTACGTCAAATTTAAAAAAATCATACGGTACAATAAATAGTAGTTTGAAAGCGATTTTCTCGTTTGAAATACCCTTAAAATATCTTTATATGTATTTTGATAGTATTTCCAATTTTAGTAAAGGAGTTAAAATTTTTGTTTAAATACTTCAAAGTTAAAATTATAATTGCTCAAATGTATTTTACTTTGATTTAATTAGAAATTACCACAATTCGTATTTTTTGTGATTTGAATAAAAAATAAATAAAATCCTAAAATCTTCAATACACAGGGTGTCTCAGCTAAAATTCCGTGGCCTACTATTTTGAGAACGGATAGAGGTATTGAAATTCTGTAAACGCCATTGTTTTTAGCTTGACGGCGGGAACTCAATTTAGTACATTGCAAATATGATACATATATACAAGGCGTGGTCGTCGTGGTGCAAACCTATATATTTTTTAAATGCAACGTATACATTTTTCACGGATTCTGGTAGACCGTTAAATTGCGATTATAACATATACAGCACTTCAAACATTTATTTCATTTGATTGAAAGTTAAGTGAAATAAAACAAGTAGGTACCACATTTTTTTTACGACATTTCAAACATATGCTAAAATAACTGCTTTGTTTCATCCAACTTTTTTTTTATATTTATAGATTTAATTTTTTTATCAACTGAACATGAAATAAATATCTAAGAGCCGGTTTACAGAAGCTCAATTAAATATTTGATGGTGATTAAATTTTTACTATGGCATTAAAGAATACATGATAACTTAATTTCAATTAAAATATTCTATAAACTGACCCTAAGTGTCTTATATCATTGTAATCACAATTTAACGGTCTATAAAAATTCGTTAAAAAATGTATGTTGCAATTTAAAAAAACATAGGTTTGCGTCGCTACGCCGATGATATATATGCGTTATATTTGCGATGTACTTAATGAAGTTAAAAACAATGGCGTTTGCAGAATTGCCTTACCTATATCCGTTCTTAAGCAGTTTTAGATGAGACATCATGTACTTACGTTTCATATAAAGTGTACTTAAGATGTACATACTCGTATATGTATATCAATGTTCAATTGAAAAAGTCATCGAGTTGGCCTTGATTTTTTATATGGACTATTAAAACACATGCGTTTTTCGCTACATTTTTCTCTATCAAAAAAGCATAGCCAACTTGATGACTTCTTCAATTGAACACCCGTGAACAGTAATGTACTTGGCGGTATATTTAGCCCCTCCTGCTACAGACTTAGTGCTACAAATGTCAATTTGACAGTCAGTTATGTCATCATAAACTTTAAAATATGTTGACAATTTGACAAAAAAAAATCATAAACATTAATAGTTACTCAGCGTTATTACTACACTGTACCTAGCTTTGTACTACGACTTACGTTCTCTTTGAAAATGGAACACTGTGTCAAACAACCCATATTTTAAAATTTTTGTTTTTCACAGTTTAAGAAATACCACTTTAATTGTGATGTAAAGCAGCCTTTACTGATAACATAGTGCGACACACTTTTTGTCGCAGAAACAAAAGAAACTTATACGATTAACCCAGTTTATAAACAAATGCTTTCAGTAATCTCTTTTCTAAATCAGTATACTAGCTGGACGTTAAACTTCGTCGTTAAATGTTTTAAAAGTAAATTTATTTTTGTTAGTAATATTGTTTATAAGTAAGTTTTGCAGTAATTCTTTCAATGCGAGAAGAACCAAAAACGTTACATAAATATATTACTTAAATTATTTGGCGTTAAAATCAGAAGTAAGTCTCACCAATTAATCGATCAAATTACTTTTAAAACTAAGTATTATAATTCATATAATTGACTATCATTCTAATTAGTTTAAATTAAATGATTATTATAAACAATAAATTATACGGCGGGTAATCTACAACAAAATAGTGTACTTAATAGCATAACAACCTGATCACACAAAATGAATCATTGTTAATTTTTATAGGACTACGAAAAGGTGACTTGATTAATGAAATATCAGCAGGTTACTTAACAAATTTTTTGAGTAAACGTGGTTTAGAAATTATTCTTCAATAATATTCGGAACCGTGTTGGATAAAACAATATTCCATTACGTTTTAATAGTTAATACTGTGTTAACTCTTTTTAAAAAATGAAATTTTGGACATTCGCCAATATATTGCTAGTTATTTAAAATTAGTTGTAGAATAACTTGGAATCTTTGGGATAATAATTCGTGATGAGTATTATTACTGTTTTAACTATTATTCTTTATAAAGGAATGATATGCGCAAGTGTAATATGTGTCGACCCAAAAAATAATCTAAATTATATTTTTGTTTGAATATTAATCACACGGAGTTAAAATTTTTATTTAGAAAACGTTGGCTGTGAAGGACAGGGAAAATACCTTTGATACTATCACAGCCAGTTGTAAATTAGATTTTTATCATTATTAACAGACCAATTTCGAGGTTCATGCTGTTTCCTCGTGTTCTGACGTCATGTCGAAATTCCATTTGTATGAAGATTTACGACATACAAAATTTTAATTAGTGTGTTAGAAGCAAAATTAAAAATAACAATAACAATAATAAGAATAAAAAACATAAAACAAAATTTGTACTCAATCACGCTTCTCGAAGTTGATTTACTAACTAACCCTTACTTATAAATATCAAAAATTAATCAAACCATATGCATGATGTGGTGGCTCAAGGGATAGATCTGCGTGGCCTCTTGAATACACTGTTGTACATCGGCAGGTTGATTCAAGGCCAAATAGAGTTCAGCCAGAAGCAACCATACTTCGACTTGCAACAACCACGCCCTCTGTGGACCCGGACGTGGACTAAAACTGCTTAAAGAACTAGCAACTTCGCTCAGAGCTTGTTCGATCCGAGAAGCGGCCGTGTTGTGCAATTGTAACGAACCTACGACAAATTGGTTTTAAGTACAGTACAGATTTACCACGAATTTAATTTAATTAAAGAAACATGACTTAAGTCTTACTAGAATCTCGGTCCGACATCTCCGACGTATACAATTGGAAGACTGAACGCGTGTCGCTTTTTCTATCACATTCCGGAACGTCCGAGTTCGTTTGCCCTTCGTACAAATTCTTCCATAACTCCAGCATCTGTTTCGCCGTGATCAACGCCTTCTCGCCACCTTCTTCGTGCAGCTCCAAATGCGCCTTCACGTACATCAAGTTCAGACAATCCGGATACTCTTCAAGTGCGTTTTCTACAATAGCCAACGCATTCTTGTGCTCCCTTTCGGCCGTTAGCAGCAGCACCAATAAATGCAAAGTGGACGAATTCTCCGCTCGTAGATCTAGTGAAATCCGCACGTGTTCTTGTGCGTCTCCAATTTGTCCCATTACTGCCAACTGCAGTCCTAAGTAGTAATGACACAAATGGTCGTTTGGTTCGATTTCCACAGCGCTTTTAAAGCTCTCCAAAGCTCTGTTCATCAGATCTTCTTTATCTTTTTTAAGTAAGCACGCTTCCGCCTGTAAGTAGTAGCCAATGCCTATATAGAGGTAACATCGACCGAGTAAGCCCGAATTGCATTGAAGATCTTTCTTTTTGGCTTCTATGCTAAAATTGGTTCCTTCTACTGCTAGATTTAGGTGTTCGTAGCAGATTTTTGCAGCTAAGAGGCAGTTACTGGCGTTATTTGGTTCTAAACGTATCACTTCTTTGAGGATTGCAAGAGCATGGACGTAGCGGCCGGTTGCCAGGAGGCTGAGGCCGTGTTGCTTCCAGAGATGGATCTCCTCGAAGGAGAACTTCATTGACCGTTCTAACGACTGGAAAAAAGAAGTAGTCTGAGTTGATTTAATATACTTTGATCGCTAGATGGCAACACAGTGTAAATTATTTTTCCACAAGCCTTTTCAAAATGTACATAAACAAACTTCAAGGGTAATTCTTGTCTCAATTATTCAAACACAATAACTATTTTATTTATGAACCTATGTTAACGAAATTTAGTTTATAAACAAAGACGAATGAGTTCTATGTATGCATCACTTCAATTACAAGAAATAATTGATAGGAAGCAAATTGATTACTTTCCATACGTTTTATTTTCTTTTGTAAGGAAATATTTTCTTAAGGAGGGCGTCTGCGCGCCAATTTTAGCACTCTAGGAAAGTCCACGCTAAAGGTCCGAGACACGCTGTCCCCTGGTGGTGAGTTACTGAAAATACCGGTAAAGGTCGAACTGTTCTACAGATTTCGATTTCGTGCTCTACGGAAATAAGTTTTCCTGCAACTTATTATTATCCTTCGGTATTAGCGAGCTTTTTGTTTTCAAACTTAATCTGTTGAAAATGAGAACACATTTTTATGAACATCAAATGTGTTCCCGTGGATAAAATCCTACGTTTATTTTTATTATTATTAAAAAAAGAAATATTACACGTATGGTTTCATTGTTAGACAACACATAACCTTATCAATGTTTCTTCGTTTCTGTTAATAATTATTTTTTATATAGAATTTGTCGATTTTCGGGAAAGCTTTTTTTCTCTCAATTTCGTAATATGATTATCCACTGCATATAGTTGAAAATTATTTTTGTGTATGCTATTTAAAAAACGTTCAGCTCTAATCTTTGAGTATTTTTCTTACTATTAAAACTAGAACTAGAATTAATGAAATATCGAGGAGCGTACGCTTAGTGACAATAATCGACGTAAAATTCTAACATGATTGATAATAATAAATTAATATTATTAATATATTAATAATTTACCCCTAAAAAAAAAAAAAAAAAAAATTCGACGATTGTTGTGAGCAGCATCGAATTCTTTAACAATATCTTCGATGTTTAAAGATTTTGCCACGGAAGATTCGACGTTGCTCACAGCAAGATGAATTAGTCTTTCATTGGTCATAGAATTACGCACACATGTTTTTAAACGTTTTAAAGTGGAAAAAGTACGTTCACATGCAGTACTGGATACTGGAATTGTAGCACTAATAACCGCTAGTTAGTAAGTTTCAATAAATGCAATTTTATAAATTTTTAACATGTCTAAAAGGTCCATTATTGTCGTGATTTTCACGTTTTTTTCATTTTCATACCTTGTCAACGTTGTTGGCCGTATCATAAGTTCTGATTTCAACAAATCCAAATTACTTTGATAAAAAGTGGCTAAAGGAGTTAAGGCGTCAAAATTTAAAAATAAAGCATTGCTAGGATGCAAAGCTGCAACATCATCTGTGGGCACCGGCTTCATTGGCGGGGACTAAAAAAAATATTTTCGAGATTTTTTTACAAAACAAGTTAAAAATTTACACCGCTATTCCTAGAAAAATTGAGGTGGGCACTAGGGTGGGCCGCAAAGTTTTTGGTTGGGCCATGGCCCACCATGGCCCTCCCTCAGTTCCGCCACTGCGATGGTGCATTTTAAGTTTACTAAAATTCGAAATCAAAAACGCAACTGTATAAAATATCAGTTATTTGTAAATGTAAAAAATGTAAGTGTTCATGGGATAAAAAGTGTTACTAAAATAATGTCTGCAAATTAGCATGAAATAAATCTAGAGTTCAGAGTTTTCTACCACTTTCTGCACTTTCTTTAAACCTTTTTCAATATATTGTAGTTTGAACTGACTTTTTGTTTAATGTATGTTTACTCAAAATTAACAAAAAATAAGAAATCGCGGCGAAATACCACAGAAAAAAAATTGGTCTAAAGAGTTTAGACAGTACTTCCCTCGCTGTCGGAAACGTGACGACTGCATGCCTATTATATTTTTTTTTCGCAGTAGATTTTAAAGCATTCGGTTTTGTAGTTCCTGAGTAAACCAATAAAATATATTTACGCATTCATTATTTTTTTTGAGTCACCCGGTATATGCAAATTAAAAAATATGAATGGAATGATAAATTACAAGTACAGACTCATCATATTTTGTATATTCTAGATAGGATTTATTCGGCAAATTTTTGAGCTGACGTCATCAGTTTTTTGGAGAAGATAACCAAATATATTTTGACTAAAAATTTATTATGCTCTTTATAACCTTAAAACATCTGCAACATTTCAAAACATTCGGTTCTGTAGTTCCTGATTATATATAATTTTTTTTGGGTCACCCTGTATATGCAAATCCGAAAAACATGAATGGAATGATAAATCACAAGAAGAGACTCATCATATTTTGTACATTTTAGATAGGATTTATGCAGCAAAATTTTGTGATGACGTCATAAATTTTTTAGGGGGGACGACCAAATACATTTTGATCAAAAATTTACCATGCTTATGATAATTTTAAAACATCTTCAAGATTTCAAAGCATTCGGTTTTGTAGTTACTGAGTAAATCAATAAAATAAATTTACGTATTAATTAATTTTTTTGAGTCACCCTGTATATGCAAATCCAAAAAATATGGATGGAGTGATATACAACAAGTACAGACTCATCATTTTTGTACATTTTAGATATGATTTATTCGGCAAACTTTTGAGCTGACGTCATCAAGTGTTTGGAGGGGATAACCAAATATAGTTTGACTAAAGATTTATGATGCTCTTTATAGCCTTAAAACATCTGCAACATTTCAAAACATTCGGGTTAGTAGATTCAAAATTAAATTACAAAATGTTTTTATAATTTTGATTTATTTCCAAAAATCTGGACGTTTCGGGTAAAAACTCAATTCGGAGTCGTAAACTACATGTGTAGGACTATGTTATTTTATACAATTTAAAACCCATTTACTATGTACAATTTTGAAGTGACGTCATCGCATTAGTGGTGGGGATGATTAGACAAATTTTGGTTAGCGTTTTACCATCTACATGATATTCCTAATATAAGTACAAAATTTCACAACAATCGGACCGGTACTTTCGGAGATTATCTGTCTAATAAAAATCCGGAACGGCAGACAGACGGAAATGGGAGACCTATTTCTTCGTCTTCTAGGGGTCATGAAAGAGCGAGAAAACGTAAAAGTATAGAGTCGGCCGACGGACTCGATTACAACACTTCCTTTGATTACGCTCGGGAAGTAAAAATATGGATTTTTTTCCCATTTGATGATATGAATATCTCACTTTTATCCTGAATAATTATAAAATTTTCGTCTAATGAGTTAAATGTTTTAATCAAGTTTATTATAAATCTAAATTAATTTATTTGGATAAAAATAATAACGAGCATTAATTTACAATTAATATTTACTTCTCGAGCGTAAGCTAAGGAAGTATAGTACGGGTCCATCGGACGAATGGCCACTTTTATGTTTTCTCGACGTTTCATGACCCCTACAGTACGAAAAAAGTAGTCTACCGTTTCCGTATGTCTGTCTGTCAAATTTTATATGTAGAAATGTCATGTAGATGGCTAATTGCTAACCAAAAGTTTGAGAATACGCAAGTCTCTATATAAGAGTAAGAATTATAATATTCAGAACATTTTGTTCGATTGTAGTTTAATTAATAATTTTAGTCCCCTGTTTTGAGAAGACAAACTCATTCAAATCAAACTGATTCCTACGTGACATTCTCTTTCGATGTATAAATATAAACACTTGAGCTTCAGATTGCTATTAACTAGCGCTGAAGGACATTTTATCCCGTTAGTTAAGCCCGACGCTAACACGTGTAAAATCGTTTTATTGTTTGTAAATTTACAGTTCATGTTAGGAGTTTAATCGTTAACTAGTGCTACCACAGTTTAACAATCAGGAATTTATTTAGATACATCACTTGGAAATTCCATGAAGTTCACTTAGTCAGGATAACACCCTTTGTTTGTCTAATTATGAATAAGTTTTGGATGCTAATACTTAGCGAGACATTTTATTTCTCGCAACACTAGATAATTACATCACCGAGACGCATTTTTCCTCGCAACGCAGGACGCATTTTGGGTTTATTTATTATGTGTTTTGTTTGGGATAAACAGTCCACGATATAAACCCTCAAAACAAATTGTTTTAAGTAACCAATCACTTGGATCATGGCATAATGTAACATCATATAAATTCTTTGTTTGCATCGTTGATAAAGTGTAGCAAATATTAACCTCATGTAATTTTGTTAGCTCTGCAAATTTTCACCTCACACAATTTTTTCTACACCACAATTTTAAGTTCAGTAATTTTCTTTGTTGTATAATTTAAAATGAACGTAAATTTTCATGCTCTGCACAAGTTTTATTTCACAGCAGATCTTTGTTTGACAAGTCTTTGCTAGTTTTTCTTTCTTGTAAATATTTTGTTGATGAATGTTTCCATCATATAAATTATCTGATGTCCAATCTTAATCTCACATAAGAATTATTTGTTGTTTAAAATTTCACAAGATTGTATCGCAAATTTAAATGTTGTTTATTGCTCTTTTTGAAACTTTAACACTGGTTCAGTAGTTGTTAATATTAGAGTCATAGAAATTGAACATTTAAAGCGGAAGCGGGGTGCGCGGTTCCTAGTCGAGCTGGCGGGATTTATCGCGCCATCTGTGCAAAAGATGCAGATTAGAATAGAAGTCAGGGGCGGTCGAGATGACGTAACGCTGTCGGTTTCCACCCCATAGCCGGGACCCAACTGCGAGTTGCCGACCGTAACGTTGGATTTTTTGAAAGAGTGAATTTTCGTACGCACACGGGCTATTATTTTCCAATCGTAAATTTAATATCATTACTGTTGGCTAATAAATAAAAAAATTGTTCCTTTTAGCTGACTCACTCTGCACATACTAGCCTCCAGATATTTTTTTTGTATTTTGTGTTATTTTGACGATTTTTTAAATTTCTACAAAAACTACATTTGTAAGAACAAGTTCCATTAAATTTTGGTGGCCGTCAGTAGTTGTCAATTCAGAAGTCCTCTAAAGCAAGAGACGAAGTTGTTATTTAATTTTTAAAGTATTACTTCATGAGTTGTACATATTTTCCGTGGAAAATTGATAATAAGTGAGGTTGATGAATCAGACACCATATTTACATATTACAATGAAAAAAAAAAAAAAAAAATTGACCTTTATTACACCAGAGAAATATTTTATTTTGAAGCCGGTTGCAACCGTCGACTATACCTACAATTTTGTATACTCAAGAGTTTTGAACACTTTTAATAATATAAAGAAAACTTTTTCATTCAACTTTTATGCAATTACGGATTTAAAATTAGATATCCACAAAGTGAAGAATGGTCAGACAATTTTTAGAAACTTTTTGGTTTATCAGATTCAAGTGACAGTTAACATTGTGCTGCCCTCTAGCTGCTATTGTGATAGATATGAATCGATATTGATGATATTGGCGCGACCTTCTAACACCACTATGACATTGGCAAATTCAAATGAAACTCACGTACCTCTTGTAGCAAAGCCACTTGTCCCCACCGCACTGTAGCAATGGCCAGCAAATCGTACACCATTATCGCATCATGATAAGCACTAAGCCTAATCTCCTTAAATTCAGGAGACTGTGACAAAACAGCGTTCCGAACAGCCATAGATTCAGCAATCAACAACAACAAAATAGTTTCTTCACATTCGTTCTTCGGAACAAACTACAAGTGTAACAACGTAGAAAAGAAATTACCAAGTTTTTCAATTACCTGATTTAAGGAAGCATAGTATTTTGGTTTCCAAATTGAAGCTTTAGGAAGCGAGTTCGATGGAGGTTTATACTTGTCCCCCACCAACCCTTGTAAAATCAGTTGCGCCATCTGGCACATAAATTTCAACCGAATGGCGTTAGCACCTTGAGTTTCAACGGCACAAAGAGCAGCTCTATATTGCTCTAGAGCTTCATCAGGTTTGCTTTGTTGCAATAACAACATGGGGCCTTCTTGTAGAGCTTGTTCTAGAATCACTCCCAGTGATTTGTGGGTGGCTGGGGGCTGTGGGGAATGTGTTCCTGTGTTGGTAGTGGTTCCAGTTGTTTCCTTTTCGAGTTTTTGCATGTAAAGTAGGGATAGATCTGCTGCTAAACTAAAACATTTACTCATTTCTTCCTTTTTTTCGGCTTTTTTGAATTTGGTGGTAGCCGTTGTGTCTTTTTGGAGGCACAGACCATTCACGGCGTAGGATTCTGCCACTATTCGTAAACTTCGTCTAAAAACAATACACAATTCAAAAATGTAAAATGATAGTTTTGAATGGTTTTACAAAGGCAGTTTTTTCTGGGACAAATTGTGGAGTTCCGCTGCTTTAAAATGATCAATTCCTTTAGCGTAGTGACTACAAGCGTAGTGTAATTTTCCGAGGAGGAGATGGGCGTCCATAGCAACGCCAGCCTAAGGAACAACTTCATAATAAACATAACAAAATGGAAACAACTGGGTTAATTTTTCTAGTTGTTAATATTTTGACTCTACCTTGATACCCGCATCATTAGTGACTAAAGTTAAGTATCTCTTTGCGTCAATTAAGCCAATCTTTGCGCGGTCTGCGTTCGCTTCGATTGGTGGCCACTCTTCCAAATAGTTCTCTAGTTTTCCTTCCCCTATTAGAAAATCGGACAGGCACACTATAACACACTTGTCAGAACAAGAAAAACACAATTAAGCAATCGTTTACTATATTCTGGTGATTTATCCTTAAGTTGCTCGGCCAGTTCTATGACCTTAACCCAATTTGCCTCTTCTCTATTCCTTTCGATATCAACTTCGATTCGAGTTGTAGTATTTTTTGCTCTACTTGTCATTTTTTAAACTGTTGTTTCAATAAATAATAGAAAAATAAACTATAAATCAACCTTGTCACAACATAACCTACATCTGTCATTTGAACGTCAGTCTGACGTTTTACAATAAATATAAACCCAGCCAATCAGGACCCACATAGGATTAGGGGATGGCAAGATTGAAAGAAAAGGTTAGCCCAAAAAATATTACAAATTAAAATTGTATTTACCACACACAAGTGAACATAATCTTTTTCGTTACATAAAAACATCAATTTTGCACTTTACTTTTTCTCTAAGTTTTGTAATTTGCTAATTAACTGCTGTTTCCACTGCTCTTCTGGAATCGTGTTTGCCCATTCTGGTATTGCGCTGGGTGGTAGCGTAAAATTCACCATGGCTTGTTTGACTTCATCAACTTTACTACTGTCCATTACTATATCTACAGCTTTTGGATAAGGGGCAGTCCAAACTTCTTTCACCAAAGTTTCCTCCATGGGGATAATGGGCGGTAGTGTATCAATGTTTGCCACTGCTCCTTCTTCGTCACTGTTGGTGGAGCTTTCATCCACTTCGGCCAATTCCTGAGTTGGGAGAAGTTGATACTCATTGTAGGGATTGTCGTCGTCATCGGTATCTGTGTCGGTGGCAACTATAACGTCGTTATTGGGAGTTAAATCTTCTGTTGGTTTGTCGGGATCTGGATAACCATGGTTTGATGAAACCATTCTAAAATTTATACTTTAAGAACTGTTGTTTACATGTTATGGAAAATTTGGAGGTTATGTTTTGTGACACTTTTCTAATCCAAGAAGGTGAACATCTAGGTTGGCCCATCCTCAAAATATTTAAATACAGCATTAGTCTACTGTGGCATTAGCATTAAGTTCATTGTGCAATGAAGGTATTTTACGTATAGTTGTGTGTATTTTAATAATTTATACACAATTTGATTTGCTTAGGCCTTCTAGGTATTTTTTAAGTTTCTGTTGATGGACGTGACCATTTAAATCTGGCGTGCGGCTCGTGTGCTTTACATTAATAAAATTGATGTCAAAACAAAATGCATTAACTGAATAAATGACATTACATTTAGTAAACAACGATTTATTAAAATGGAAAACAGTGAAGAAAATAAAAAATACTGAATGGTAAAAATCACAAAAAATAAATAAATAATACAAGTCAGGCAACAATGAACGATTTTTTAATGTAATTTAAAGCTTAAAAATAAATCTTAAATTCTAAAATTAGGAGCCTTAATTCTTCACAAATTTGAGTCCTGGAAAAACAAGAAACAGAAACATGGTAACTGTTATTTTTGACAAACAAAACTCACCCTGATGTACACAGGAACGGCACTTTTATTGTTGAACAAAGGAACATAATGCAGATACTGCCCACATCGTCTTCTGTTAAAGTAAATGAGAATCGCACAACCTATCAGAAGTACGACACTTGTTACAGATCCAGCAATCACTGCCGTTCGTACGTGTCCGGCAGATGCTAGGTCTTGTTTTAATAAATAACACGCTTCTGGTAAACCATATGTAACTGTTGATTTACAAATTTCATCCTGCGTAAAATGTAGGTATAAAATCTAACAAAATGTATAGTTTAAAAAACTAACCTTAACAATTTTGCCGCCACTTCTAGTTTGGTTGCATTTTAATACTACTTCAAATTCATAATTTCCTGAAAATATAAATGCATTATAATAATACTTATTACTGAATAAACATTTACCGCCCGAGAAACAATGTGCCGATGTGGAATACGGCAACTTTACTTGCTGACTTATGTAATCAAAAAATGGCGTCGGGCATTCGTCCTCTACAACTTTGGAATCATTTTTGCAAAAAGCTCCACTACACCTGCTCAAGTTTCCATCGAAATTAATAAAGAAACGAGTATAATTAAAAAGTATCTGCAAAATAAATAAATTTCAATTAGTATATTTAAATTTAAAAACGAAAAATCTATAATAAAAAAGTACTTACTTCTTCTGATTTCATTTTATTTAATTTGAATTCGTAGCCCGTTTGTTCGTTAAAAACAGTACAATTATTTTCGAAGTTTTGTGTATTTTGAGTTGGATATGGATTTTCAATTGTACTTTCATGCTCAATAATCGAGTACGAAACTTGTTTTTCTTTTGTTGGTGGGCAGACTATAGGTGTGTGTATAGTCATATTAAGAACGCAGTCTTCGAAATAGGTTTTATTGTCAAAGACGTCGTTAAGTGTTTCAGAGCATTCCATTTCGAAAATGACTTTGCTGGCTGTACTACTGGTACTATCACAGTCGTTTTGTAAATCTAATACTACGTAGGAATTTTTTTCGAAGGTAAAGTATTCGCGGCTCAAAAAAAAACGGTTCGTTATTCCTGAAGAAAAGTGAAAACTATGTCAACAAGTTGAGGAGAAAAAGAAAAACTTGCCATTGGAATAGGTTGTATACATGTCGTTACACAAATCGAATTCATATTGATTCGTCCCATCAATGTGCACCTGCACGGTCTTTTTTTGTAATTTTGTTAAATCAAGTCTAAAAATATTCATTTACTTGTATTCATTTTTATTTTGTTCTTAATGTTGAAGTTACAGTTCACTATTGAATGTTATCATACAGTCCACATGAAATGTCACATAGTTTCTTCTGGCCCGTTGAGAGAGACGTCAGTTTAAAATTTACGATGTATTAAATTTAGTACTGTATTTACCAATATAGTAACTGGGAATCAGAGTTACTATATTGGTGGCGTTCAACGCACTTAAGCTGTTTGTTAATTGTAGTTACTTAAATGCCAAACAAAACTTTAATAGTGGTTTTAAATGGTTCAAATATTATTCGAGTTTTATGAAGGGGTAAGTTTAAGATACCACGTCTAATATACTTTTGAAATATACTTTACGAAATAATTGGAAGTATTAAAACTTGTAGTAAAAATTTGTGCCACCATGTGAACTCTATGGCTACAGACACACGTTACAAAAACATTAAACTCAACTACACTGCAATGGTTAATACATATTAGTAACAAACTACTTGCTGAAAATTAAAAACAGCTACTTGAACTACCGCCACTAAAGAAGTGCTGAAGGTTAGTTCTGAGTGCTAAAAATAAAGCATAAAAAATAAGACAGCATTAATGGCATACTTAAAAAAAAAGCGGTCAATTTCACCACACAAATTATACAATTAAGCAAAACTTACGCGGAGTCGGGTTTTGAACCAGGAACAAGACATTTTTTCTCTCGTGGACAAGCTTCAGGTGTTTTCCATTTAAAAGTGTAAATACAATTGTGCTTTGATAAAAATAATGGCGCCAACTAAAAGTAGACCTTAAAAATCTGATCATCTAACAACGTTTTGAACAAACTTTACTCAAAAAAATGAGTAAAATCTGTAGCAAAACACTGGTGTAATTACTTTTGTTTTGGAACACTCAAACTGGAATACACTTTTGTAATGGCCAAGTCCTTCGCAAAATGCTCCCATTTCGGCTTCCATTATTAAACCGTCACTAGTGTGGTGCCATTTAGTCCTTTCCACGCCTCCCAACGACTGATATCTAGCAAAACAACACTCATACACTGTGCCAAGTAGTACATCCAACATACTTGTATCTCACATTAACCTCAGTTTTATTTTTCCAACACACCATTGTATTGCCCCTACACAATGCCCCAGGACCACTCACTATAGGTCCACACACATTGAAAATAAACTCGACGTTCTGATCACCCACTACATAATTTTTGTTTTTTGTTGTAAGACCTGACAAATCGTATGTCAAGTTGGCAGTACTGTAAGCGCAATTGTTAAAAATTCCCCGTGATAGACACGTTTTTTGGGTAAAGACAGTGACGTTAAATTTGCATCCATCTTCAAGCTAGAAACCATATTAAAAATAGAAGATAACTGAGATTTATTCTTACCACACTGATAAGCGATGGAGGGGGTGGAGTTTCGTAGGTACAAACAAAATCGACGACAACTCCCGCTTGACTTTTTTTATTCGAACATGTGGAACCTTTCAGTTCCAATCTAAGTTGTCCATTTTCGCTAATCAATTCCTTATTTTCAAAGCCAATCACGCTTTCTTTTTTATCGGTTTTCAGGCAAAAGCTTACGTTTGTGAAATTGTTGCAGCTTTCGTGTATGGGGCCGCATAGATTGTAGATAAGTTTTGTTTTTTTGTTGGGGGTGAGAGGGTGAATTTTGTCACTTTGTGTATGTAATTGTTGTAGATTTCTATTTCCAACTCGATCGTTCATATAACAGTTGTCTCCTTTGTAGAACTAAAAGAAGTAAATCATTTTAAACGAAGAGGAGTTTAAGTCAGCTTACATCTACAGGACATGCGCGTGGAGTTTCCCACGTCAACAACATAACACAACCTTGGATTTTTTTAAAAGTTGGATCCTTTTCTGTCTTGGAACACATAAACTGGATTTCTGTACTATATAAAAATTGGGGGTCTTCTATGCACCTAGAGCCTGAGGAAAATCTAGCTTTGATAATATCGCTGTCTGCTTCAAGAGACGATAAAATGCTACCCCAGTTTGTATACGCCTTGTTATAAAGTTGGCAGACTTGGGAATATTGATCTAAAATTATATAAAAAGTCTTGACTTCTTTGTAGTGGATAATTCAAAAGGTCTTGACAATAACTTCAATTCAGCTAGTTTTGACAAGGAAATAGAAGGCAATATAAATTATCAGACAAAACTTAACAACCAAGAAATGTCATTTGACTCAAACTTTTCAGGAGATTCGTATATTATAAGCTCTACATTTGACGTGGTTTTAGCCACAATGTGGTAAAAATTTAGTTTAACACAAAGATATTGAATATAAGTATCGTTGAAGTTTCCGTTGCAGTTGCTGTTCCCGCTGACGTTGCTTTTAAAGCTGAAAATTGTCATTTATAAACTCCGCTGCCAAATTGCCGTTGATAAAAACTTTGATGTTAAACTTTTGCCGTATTGAATGGAGTTGTAAGAGAACAGTGGAGGATTTAAGTTGATTAGTACAAAAACTTACTATTTTAGACATGTTTTAAGTTTCTTGTTGTCGAAATAAATCTACACACATTAAGAAAAAAATAGCAAAATATAGCCCATACCCACCCCCATCTCAATTCTCAAGTACTTGCCAAGATAAGACTGATTTTGCCAAATGGCATATCCTTTTAGAAAATAAAGGGTGGGTGGATAGGACTACTAAGTAGTAACACCGCCCACCTGCCCTTTATTTTCTGGTAAGTACCATGGTAAGACTCATTTTGGGAAATGATCTACTCTCTAGGAAAATAAAGGGCGAGTAGACGGGGTTAATACTAGGATAAAGCCGATTTTGTTCAATGACCTACCCTCTACGAAAATAAAGGGCGGGTGGGCGAGGCTAGGACTTACTAAGATAAGACTGATTTTGATAAATAACGTACTCTCTAAAAAAATAAAGGACGGGGGGGCGGGGCTAGTACTTGCCAAGATAAAACTGATTTTGCCTAATGATATATCCTCTAAAAAAAGAAATGGGTGGTAGGCGGGGCTAGTAGAGAACGAGAAGAAAATCTTTTAAATAAACAACTTTAATTTTTTAGATAATGACGTCAGGGTTATGTCATCATCGATCATTGTTCTTAATGGAAATCCAAAGCCGTGTCCAACCCGTGTAGTTGGCATCACTGATTTGACAGCTACATCCCAGCTTCCACCATCAGGATCAGATAAATTAGACCCAGCTGACTTGTTAATTGGGACAATGACGGGGTTCTGAGTGTTCAATCCACGGCTGTAGAATAGATAGGTTGAGTATCTTTCATTCATTCACGTTCCGGTAGGTAGAATAATTTCTTTCCGTACCAGTTGGCCATGACGCGCGTTATCGAATGGGTCCCTCTTACGGTATTTAGAGGCATTAACTTTTGCCACATCAAAAGGACACGATTATACCGACATAAATGACAACTTTGACATTTAATCAAAGCATTTAATAATAATTTTTATGTTAAACGTTCAATCTTTTGGAAGCGTCTTTGACCATTGTTTACACTAGCTACTATGCGACTTCTCTGAAACCGTTTTTGCAGAACCCTCATACAACGCCCCTGCCCTGATCGCGTTCCTACTCTTCAAATGTTATGAGAAATGTTTGTACAACATTTGAAGGTTAGGTAGGAACGTGATCAGGGGTGTTGTATGAGGTTTTTGTGGGGGCGGATTCGGCAAAATCGCGGTGGCTAATGTAATCAATTACCGAAAAGTTCTTAACCAGTACATTGTCAACTTGTTTTTCGAAGGAATCTGTGTTTATCTGGTCATCGCACATGCTTGTTTAATGATTGTTTACATGAAACAATAGTGCTTCTAGCAACTGCGGTTGCCGAGGTTTGTTATGTATAAAATGTACGTTTCTCTCTGAGTTGGCGATCTCGTTAAACCAATTTAAACAGTAATTTCTATCATAATAAATCAACTAGAAGTAGAATGACAGTTTTGGCAGCCTGTCAGTTGTCAATTTGCCATTGCAGTAGTGGAAAATTTCATTCATAAAGATGTTAGTGTGTAATCGTAATTCACAGATGGCGAAACGATCTAAAGCGCACCAAAGCCGCCTAGGACCCCCAAATTTTATTCCACCAAATTTCCCTTAGTGTACCAACCTTATATTTTACAGCCGTGGTTCAATCCAATGTAAATGTCATTTTTAAATCAGTGATGCCAACTACGCGCCATATTATATTAAAAATTTTGGAAAATGGTGGACCCAATCATAGAAATTTATTGTTGCTAAAATAACGTAACGTGAAAACGGAGACGTGTTTGAGAAAAATAAACTACATAAATGCATAATCCGGTGACAAGGAATTCTGTTTTCCAAGATTGTTTTGCTGATGTGACAAAGGAGTGGAATCTAATTGCAAAATCCTTATTATTTCTCTACAAGAAATTATTACCATGTAAGACTTATGTTTGAGTATCCTGTTATTCAAAGAATACTATGTATATTAAGAAAAAATTAAAGCCAAAGATTAAGCCCCACCCATACCTGCCCTGATCTAAATAGTAATGAAGTATTCATTCGTTGGCAGACCTAACGTGTTTTGCTTCTATGAATAAAAAAAATCATCACAATTGAGATGGGGTGGGTGGGCGGGGTTTATATTTTGCCTTTTTTTCTTAATACATAAAATTAGCATTCTTTGAATAAAACGATACTCAAAAGCATGTTTTTATTTTCTTGTAAATAAGTATTTTGCAGTTAAGATCCGCCCCCTTGGTTCACGACGAATAAAAAAAAATCAACACATGTTTAAAATGGTAAATTTGTATAAGGAAATATCGACTTTGCTATGAGGCTCCGCCCCATAATTGCAAAATTCATATTTCCTTGCAAACATGTATTATTTTAACCATGTTCTAAGTTTCTGGTTGTGAAAAGATGGCTATGTACGTTAAGAAAAAAAAGGTAAAATATAAGCCCCGCCCACCCGCCTTATCTCAATTCTGATTATTTTTTTTTATTCGTCGTAAGCCGAGGGCCGGAGCTTAATTGTAAAATCCTTATTTTGCTACGAGAAATTACCATGTGAAATATGTTTTTAAGTAATCGTGTTATACAAAGAAAACTAAATGTATTAATTATAAAAGAAAACCAAAAGAGAAGCCCCACCCATCCGTCTCGACCTCAATCGTGATGAATTTTTCATTCATTGTCAGACCGAGGGGCGGAGCGTAATTGCAAAATTGATATTTTCCTATACAAATTTACCACTTTAAACGGGTTTTAAGTTTCTTGTTGTGAAAAGATGACCACACTTATTTAAAAAAAAAGGCAAAATGTAAGACTCCCCCGCCCGCTTTATCTCAATTGTGATGATTTTTTTATTTGTCGTGAACCAAGGGGGCGGAGCTTAATTGCAAAATCCTTATTTCTCTACAAGAAATAAAAAACATGTTTTTGAGTAATCCTACAAAAATTTACCATTTTAAACATGTTTTACCTTTCTTGTTGTGAAAAGAAACTACAGATATTAAAAGGGCAAAATGTAAGCCCTTATAGTTATACCTATAAGGAATTCACGTTCGGTAGATGTAACTAGATTTGGTAACTTTTTTTTTAAGCTGTGTAACTGCGGACATAATTGTTCTAGTGTATAATGTATTACTGGAATGTCAGAAAGTAGGTATCAAAAATGTGACATGTAAGTAAGTAAAGGTCAAATATCGAAAATGTGATGGTTTTGTGGTAATCTGGTGAATCTATTTTTGAACCAAGGAGAAAATCGCATCCCTCTAAAAGCCCAAAGGGCTACCCGCATGTAAAATTTTGAATCTTTTCCCTTCACTAGTTTTTTAGGAGGACAAGCTTTGATGTCATCATCATGGATCCACAATTTCACCATGGATCCGTTCTGGTATATCCATGTCTCATCCAAGAAAATGAAAAGTAAATCTTCACCACAATCACGCAATTGGAGATAGGTACCGCCTTAGAAATTTGATTCTGGCAGCTATAACGTGTTTAAAATGTGAAAAACTTCGCCTTCGGAAACCTAAATTTATACGTGTATTACGTACAATTATTTTCAAAGCCGAGTGTTTTACCTCTTACAAAACAATAACGATTATATAAAACTTAAAAACCAATTGTAGAACGGAACCAACAAAGCATGTAGGTATATAAATCTGCGCAGTCGTCTTTCTGATTCTGATTATAATATTAACGGCACAAGCGCCGCTGTATCTGTATTATTTTAAAATTCGAAAAACACTCGACAACACTAGCGAACTTTACGGAGAATATTTCTGCCACCAGTTTCACTGTTTCCGTTTTACACAATTTTTTGAAAACCACGAAATATTTCTTGTTTCTTTTCCTTTAAAATGAGCTTTCTCGTGATTACTTTTATGGAAATTGTTTCCATGCTGCATTTAAGGATTTTCTTGAAACGAAGCGTGTTGAAATTAGAAAAACTTCGTTTTTTTTCCCACACAATTCAGATTTGACATTTGAATTAGAAAATTAGACAGTTGATGCCAATCTTAAATTTCTAGTGATCTTAAGATTGCAACTTAACCACAGAAAAGTTTCTGTCAGTTACTTCTACCGAACGTGAATGCTTATTAATACTAAATCTGTTTTTGAGACGAACAGCAATAAATCTTGTTGATTTAAACATCGAGAACTATCTTTAACAATGCATACCTACTCACAGAAAGCTACAGTGTAGAAAATGATGGCAAAATTTGATTTTCGTGGAATTAGTGCTGTCAACCAGAAGAATGTCACCTCTACTTCAGGAGATTTTCCTTCAAGTTGGCATCACTTTCATTGGTTGAAAATGAAAACACAACGTCAACGTGCCAACTTTCAACGGCAACGTCAACAGATGACATAAGCGACGCATACCTTCGCTGCGTATTTATCTTACAACGCCAACGTCAACGGCGAACAGCAATGTCAGTGACAAGTTTATAAATCAACCTTTATTCCACCGCAATACAGTGGCTGATCAGTGATGACTGAGTTTCAGGGCCGGTTTATCAATGCTCAGTTAAAAGTGTCTGTTAAGTAACTGTCAGATAAGGGTAACTAGCAGTTAACGGAGGTGAAGTGTTTATCAATGCACGATGTTTCTTCCAGTTTCGTAGCTCGAAGTTTAGCTGTTACTCTCTTAAGTTGGTAACGCTCACACCACTGGAAATGAGTTGTGATTGGTCAGTTCAAAACTACCCCGACCTTGAAAGTTCCATCAGATTCGATCCGCATTCGGTATTCAACGATTGTATATCGCGTTTCACGTGATCAATCATGAAAAAGCAAAATTTAGCATTAGAAAAAAAGTATTGAAAATTAAAAATGAAACAAGTAGGTACACCTATAAATAAATACAGAGAGATCGAAAAAGAAATTAGTCAAAGTTGGCCATGCACGAAAAGGCGTTTGTCTTATTTTAAAATAATTTTTTATTAATCGTCACGTTGACAAAAGTAATTTGCACTGTTATCAAACGAAATTAAAGCTTTTTTGTTGTTAGAATCTTCAGAAATGGGATAAATTTTAGACAAAATTGGAAAACGGTGATTTTAATTCATTCTTATGTGTTTTAAAAGTAGGCGTCATAATTCTAATTTTAAACTGTAAATTTGACATTTAATACAAAAAAAAATAAATTACCCTACCACCGTGATTACGACAAACGGCTTGTCGTGCATGGCCTACTTCGATTAATTTCTTTTTCGATCTCGCGGTATTATTAGATAGGTTTTTAATTTTTGATACCTACATTAGACCCGGAAAATAATCAGCTAATAATAAGTGTTTTTCTCATCTTTTCTCTATCAATTTGTTGCACAACATAAGTCCTCATCAAAATATTGTTAAATTCATAACAGATTTATTTGGATTTGTTAGGTTATGTTGCCACTAACTGGTGGATAACGTTTTAACTGACAGTTTGAACTGTGAGTTATCAGGCACTTTGACCACCAGTTTTGAGCTAGCGGGTAATGATAAACAGGTTAACTCACAGACAAGCTTTAACTGCCAGTTACTTTAACTTAACTGTGCATTGATAAACCGGCCCTCAGTTTCATACAATTTCAAAAAAACAAAAAATATTGGTTTTTAAAGAAAACTTGTGGTTAATATACTTCCCACACGTTCGCGAATCTGGTCTTTGCTAACATCTACTAAAATCTAGAACAATGACAAATGTGTTAAAACTAATAGACAACAGTAAAATCTAGTTCCGCCACTGATTCGCTCAACCGCTTATCCGTCAATTGACGAATGTGTACGAACACGACACGAACAGAAGAGAAGGTTTGTTGGTTTGTCATGATTTGTCTATGTGCGATACAAAACAATGAGCACTGTGCACCCTCCATACATATTAAATCTCCCTGGCTTAACACCATAATAGTGTCACTTATACCGTGAGTTTTTTTTTCTCTGTACATAGGATAATTCATGTATGTTGGGTTGCATATTCATCCTCCAATGGATTGATCTGGACCACGGCTGTAGAATCTGGACTTTTAAAAACTGAACATAAGATCACATAAGATTCATAATAACTGAGGAGTAGGCCATGCCAACGAACATTTACAGTAAAATTTTTGACGAAATTGTTTTAAAAAGGTCAATAACGTAAATTTTCTGTTCTTTAAACTTGTATTTATTACAATACCTTAACATGAAGATAGTAGTGCCAAATATCAATAGCAATATCATTGACATATCCTAAATCTCGATTAAATTTTATGTTCAGTTTTTAAAAGTCCAAGTCAATCCATTACAAGCAGGTATGCAACCAACTTAACATTAATTATCTTATATTCAGAGAAAAACCTCATGGGTTATATCAAATGAATGTTCACAATCAACCTCATGGTATGTAAATATGTCAAATGAATGTTCACAATCACATTCACATTATATCATATCTGTCACTTGTGTCACTCTGTTTTGACACTTATATGTAGGGTAGTGTAGGCTAGAGACCCTAGATATACAGTCTGGGACACGGAATTTCAAACGACCTGTCAATCATAATGACAATAAGGTATAAGACTACAATGTTTTTAAATGTCAGAAAGTTGGTTGTCGTTTGAAATTCCGTGTCCCTGACTGTACTTTCAATTGAAATGGAATAGAACATATAATATACTTAGAATAACATGGGACTCTAAAACATGTTTTTAATTTCTTGTAGAGAAATAAGTATTTTGCAGTTAAGCTCCGCCCCCTTTGTTCACGGCGAATAAAAAAAATCATCACAATTGGGATAGGGCGGGTGGGTGGGCTTACATTTTGCCTTTTTGTTTGAATATGTGTAGACTTCTTTTCACAATTTAAAACATGTTTAAAATGGAAAATTTGTATAAGGAAATATTAATTTTGCAATTAGGCTCCGCCCCATAATCCAAAATCCATGTTTCCTTGGAAAAATGTACCATTTTAACCATGATCTAAGTTTCTTGTTGTGAAGAGATGGCTACGTATATTAAGAAAAAAAATCCAAAATATATATTTTCCCTTTTTTCTTAATATACGCAGTCGTCTTTTCAGAACAAGAAATTTCAAACATGTTTAAAATGGTAAATTCTTGTAGACAAATATCGATCTTGCACTTAAGCCCCGCCCCTCGATCTGACAACGAATGAAAAATTCATCACAATTGTAAATTGAGATCGGGGCGGGTATTCGGCTTTATTTTTTTCTTAATATACATAGTATTCTTTGAGCAACACGATAATCAAAAACATGTTTTTTATTTCTCATAAAGAATAAGGATTTTTCAGTTAAGCTCCGCCCCCTTGACGCACGACGAATATAAAAAATCATCACAATTGAGCAGGGTGGGTGGGCGGGGCACTACATTTTGCCCGTTTTTTTTAGGATGTGTATACTTATTTCGACAACAAGAAACTTAAAACATGTCTAAAACGGTAAATTTTTGTAGTAATCGACTTAAATCTTCAACTTTTCTTCTACAACCCCTTTAAATAAGGCAAAAGTTGAACATCAAAGACGGCAATTTGGCAACGAAGTTTATAAATGACAATTTTCAGCTCTAAAAGCAACGTCAGCAGGAGCAGCAACTGACACAGTAAGTTTATAAATCCCACTGCTAACTTCTTCAAAACAAAAATCACTGTACCTATGGCATGTACTAACCCAATTTTGAGATAATATCAAATTATTATTACCGGCTTATTTTCTAGAAATTCTGATCATTACATCGGAATTAGTATTACATTATACCTGTTAAAAATAATTAAATTATTTGTTGAATATTAAAAGTAGTGTTGAATTTAAACAATTCTTTGTGGTATAGAATGTGATAAAAATTGGTTTAAAAATATACACTCCGCCCACCCGCCCCCATTGCAATTGTGGTGATTTTATTATTGGCCGTGCGCCTAGAAACAGAGTTTAATTGCAAAATCCTGATTTTCTTACAAGGAATTATCATTCGAAACGTACATTTAAATATCGTGTTGCTGTCATAAGTGGGAGGAGTTACATAGTCCCCGTTTCTTGTACAGAAATACGAACGTTGCATCAAAGCTTCGTTGGCTTGATAACGAATGAAAAATTCATCACAACTGAGACTCGGGAGGGGTGGGCGGGGCTTAAGGTTTGCTCTGTTTTTTCCTTAATATATGCAGGTTTAATTCAGAAACAAAGCAAAATATAAACCCCGCCCACCCGCCCCATTTCAATTGTGGTGATTTTTTCTTATTCATCGTGAGCCGGGGCCGGAACTTAATAGCAAAATTTTTATTCTTTTACAAAAAATTACCCTGTGAAACGAAACCCAAAGATTAAGCTCCACCCACCCACCCCGATTTCAATTATGATAACTCTTTCATTCGTTGTTTGACCGAGAGGCGGATTACAAAATTCAAATTTCCGTAACAAGAATTACCATTTGAAACGTTAAGTTTAAGTTGCTTGTTGCGAAAAGAAGACTACATATATTAAGACAAAAAAGCAAAATCTAAGTATATCTAGGGTCTCTAGTGTAGGCTATTAGTGTGAATCCACTTTGTCGTTTAGTTTTGAGTACAATATAGAGCGTGTGGAGTTGGAAGATTATTTCGTCATTTAGTAAACGCAAATTATTTTGTATTATTATCGTTTATAAAATAATGTTAACAAATTGTTTATTTATAATAAATTTTTACAAATTAATTAAATGTTAAAAGTTAAATTCGTTACATATCGCTTGCTCAGGAGGCCATGACCAAGTGTCAGAACAATTATTTGTAAAACGTCAAATTATTTACTCCTGTTACGTTTAGGTTAGAATGTTTGCTTACACAGTGGAAGAAAAAGTAAAATTTGTCGCGGCCAGTTAACAACACCGCCTCATTACGCGGGTGTTTATTTAATTCATAATATGCCAATTAATCTAAGCAAATCTTAGAAAAAAGAACTAAAAATTACCTGAGCAGACACCTTCGGGTTGATCCAGTGAACCACAAATGTTCAAAAACAGCTTTCCTCTAGGAAACCCGGAAACGGTCCACCCCTGGCTCCTGTACAGCTTACTCAAATCATAATGCAAATTTCCAAAACTTGACACGACGCAACTTTGAGGCAATTTAATGCACCCAAATGAGGATTCGACCTCAAACCTGTAATGTTTGCCTTGCACGGGAACTTTTTTGTACGTTGCATTTGCCAAATCTGTGTCCCAGTTACATTTCAGTAAAACTTGAACATCTCGTACAACTTAACACACAAAAGAAGATTGAGTAAACTCAGTGCTAATGAAAAATTATACTCACCTCTGCCTTGTTTGTAGCGCCCCCTAGCCGTCAGCTCATCCTTAGTAACATCATAATTAAAATGTTGAGATTCCACACTAGCTAATGGTGTTGCACCATTTTGCAAAATCTCACAGGCGCCTATTTCATTCGGGCATTCCCGATTTGAACCACACAAAGTTACACTAAACTTTTTTGAATCTACTTCTACTTGAAACGTTTTCTTTAAACTGCGTAAATCAAGCAAGTAGGCGCCAGCCACTATTTCTGTACATTTAGGCTCACAATCAGGCTTCATCATTATTACTTCGAAAGTGCAGTCGTCTTCAGATGACATCAAACGTGGTTTAGATTTGATCGAATCAGAACATTGCAAAGAAATCTTTAGAATGTAATTTTTGCGGTAGTTTGATGAGCATTTAGCGCCTTGAGATACAAGAGTGAATTCTTCATCGGCATCTGAAAATGTTTTATTAATACATGGAGAAACGTTAATGTAAAATTACCTGTGGTGAATTCATGCCCCAAGTCAATCACTTGATTGTTGTTTTTTTGAATGAGGCATGTAGAGGTTTGGTTATGGCATATTCTTTGAACAGATGAGCACAAAGAGTAGTGTAGTGTGAAGTCTTTGGTACTAATTGTCCACAGTTTACTAAAAAAAGAAATCAGCGAGTTGTTTCTCATATGGACTTATGTACTCACTCTGGAAAAGTGACTTTTTTCTCGCCGAATTCGTACTCACAAAATGCATATGTATCGGTGAAGATTTGTGGAATAGCTATCACAAAATTAGCGAATATTGAGATCGCAAACAAAGTAGTAAATTGTTTTACAAATAGATTCATAATTAACAATTTTTAAATGAAAGTTATGTTAAAATTTTTTATTATTATTGATTACATCACTACTTTCACGCTACCGAGAAAATTGATCACCATTGCACAATTTTTTAAATGTATCAATGTGATAACCACATGAAATACAGAATGTACACAAATTAGATAAATTCAGGCACAATTTTTTTGTAAATGCTTCAACTACAGCATCCACTCCCGGTGTGTGAATGAATGACTGTGTGTGTGTGTATGGGTGTACGCATTTGGCGTTTGGGTAATTCACCGGAAACACATGTCGATCCGGGTGGGAAAACTTAAAAATTAAAAAACAATGTGAGGTTATGTCATAATGTCAAAGTAGGTTTACGTCCTAACTCAGAACGCAAGCTATCGACGACCAATCATGCTCGGGTGTGTTATCACGCAACCCAACATTCTCACTCGTGATTGGTAAACAAATGTATATCCTCGGTTTAAGAACCTAAATCCCAAACCGACCAGTGGCGGCCGACAAACATCTTTATCTAGAATTTTTATTCCTTATCTATTACAGTATAATAATAATTCAAATCCGCGTGCGAAAAATAACAGCTTCTTCGAAACCTATCACCTTATCGAAATGTGGTTTAATTTACGGTCGACGGTATTCTGTTGCGCAAAGAATATCGGATCATGAATTATGATTGAGAGATTGTTCCACATTTTGAAATACCAACAATGATAAAGAGATTATAAATAGTGGTTGTTATCGTTACAAGAATTTTATCAAAAAAACAACAGTTATACTGTTAATCGCCTCAGTTCTCCCACCACTTAAAATCTGCAATTTGATTTACTTGCAATTCTTCGAAGCGATTATGCTTTTTGATTTTTGAGCGATCTCAAACAGATAAGACAATTAACAGATTAAAATTATCGACAATCAAAATCACAGTAAATTTTTTCTATTAATTTTGACGCGATCAAGGCCTTTTGGAAGCTTTTCAAAGTAACTCAGATCGATTTTGTAACAGCTACGATTAATCTTTAGGTTGTTAGTTTCCTGAAGAGACGATACTAAATTTTTATAAACCTCGTTTCTGCGTTTAAAAACCAAAATAAAGGCTTTGTATGCTAAAATCCTTAACAATTTTAAATCAATTTTTCTTCTGTAATTGCACCCTTTCACACTTTCGATTTTACTAAGAGATTTTGAAGCAAACTCCATTACACAACGTTCTAAAATATGCACGACAAAATTAAAATTTTCTAGTAGGGAATTATTTCGTAGGGCCATAACAGTGGCATCAAATTTATAAGCAACATAAACTATACCATCGAAAAAGTTCTCTAGAACCGTTTTCTGACCGTTAAAAATCGTATTTAGTTCCATTTTACTAAAATAATTACCATAAAGTCTAAAAGACATAACTTTGCGAAGAAAAACTTCGCAGTCAGTCTCAGGTATTGGCTTATGGATATTCCATAGTTTAAATCTGTGTCTGATATCATACCCCTTATTAAAGCTGTGCAAAATTTTAATTTCTCCAGTCGCTACATTGAAAATTTTTCCACAATATAGAATTTCGTTCCAACAAAGTGGCGGTAAGTTTGATTGTGTTTTATTTTCATTGACTGTGTGCACGCATTTAATGATAGATTCAAAATTTGACACTTTATTTACATCAGTAGAACAAAAAAAGTAGTCGTCTACAGTGCGATGCATAAATGACTCAGAATCTAAGTCCGGAATGGCTATTTTATCTAAATAAGTTAAATATAATTCGCACAAACACGAAGATAGAGGATCACCCTGAACAAGTCCGTGCTTCCATTTATACAAATTACCTCTGAAAACAACAAGCTGATTTTTGACATACTTAACAATAAACATTTTTTCACCTTCGTTTAAAAATGTTGGCGGCAGTTTTAAAATTACGTCACACAAAATGTCGATGTTCACGTTTCCATATGCGTCTTTAATGTCTAATTTTATTCCAAAAACGTTCCCACGGTTTGTTGTTACAAACTTAGACCAATCATCGAAGATGTTGGAAAAAAGTGTGTTCATTTCTCTCGCCGCGTAAATGATTTTTGAAGCTAAATTTTTCAAAATGATCTTGTTATTTCGAAAAGAGTTGATAAGTGGACGAAAAGTGAACTCTCCCAATTCCCCTTTTGGGACTATTTTTAAGTAACCACGTGCTGTGATTCCACAAGGTGATTTAATCTCTGACAAAAAATCTCTTTTTTTGAGTCGGTTAAACATTTTTGTTTCGTAAGAAGTCCATTGCTCCAAGCGGATGAACTTAATTTCGTACCCATTATACGTTCGAACAGGCTTATAATAGAAAAGTATCAATGGTTTTACTACTCGTTCAAGCAAAAAAGTGTTTGATTTCATTAAAAGGGTTTCGCAAGTTTTTAAGCACTTAATATTATTTAACCAAGGTATGGAATTGTAACTGAAACCTTTGATAATAATAGACGAATGTACACATTCAAAGTATGATTGCGTCAGGATGAGTTTTACAATTTTGTAGAAAAGTTGACGGTGATTGACTGTGCCGAAATATTCGTTGGGGATGATTTTGTCTAGCAACTGCAGAAATTTGACCGGTGCTTTACATTTTTCGCTTTTGATTACTCTCAAGTTTTTCAAAACTGAATTCAGTACTTGGTTTAAGAGCGACAGGTCATGATTTTTGCAACTGATGTTAATTTTTTTCGGAGATTTTTGTTTTAATTTTAACGAAAGGGGAAAATAAATTTCTCCCATAGTTTGTCTAGAAAGGAAAATAATGTTTTTTTGTTTAAATTATGTTTTGGGCTTTACTTACGGTTTTGAAAGTTTTATTTCAAACACTGTGCACTGTGTACTATATCTTAAAGTCTAAAATGACCGATAACTACGGGGAGCAAGCACCCAAGCAGTTGGTTGTTTGGCAGAACTTGTCTATACTTGTAGATCGCTCCAGGTAAGGTTCGCTTACCAGTGGATGGAAATAATTCACTTACAACTTTTAAATATCTTTATTAAATTTACTTCTTTATTTTACACCCCACTGTTTACATAGCTGCAAAAATTCTGAAATAAGTTTATTGGAAAATAAAATCGTTATAAATTAATAAGTTAATTAAGTAACTTAATATAACATGATTTGATACCTAAACAATTTAAAACGAATTTTAGGTATAGAAACTATATGTAGAAAATATAAAAAATGTGGTAATTAACATGATATTTATATTGGATTATTAGAACTGATAATCTGAAGTTTAGTAGTCCCAAAATATTGTAAAAAATATGAATTATGTACTTTCCAACGGATGCGCAAAGGACTTTTGTAATAAAATCATTTTGAAAAAAGTTTAATTTAAATTTAACAAATTTTAGAATGCGATAATGAAAGTTTCCCTTCTCTTCCCTTTCTTTTCTTTGATTGTCTAGCGTTGTTGATATTTGTGAACGTCTGCTGAATTGTGACTTCTGTTTATCTCGATCTAACAAACAAAAAATGGAAGAAAATGGAGTTTGTACTCCTCCGGAAATGAGGTAAAAGGCAGTAACATTTTACTTACGCGAAAAATTTGAAAGATTTTTATAGGAGAGATAGGCAACCCTAAATACGATATTTATTATTTAGTTGTAATAAGTAGACAGAAATTTAATTTCACAGTTCGGAAGCAGACTACAATAGACACGTTCTCAAGCTAGTACTGAAAAAAATAATTTTAATTGACCATAAATAAGATGTACCTTAATAGAACAACGTATTCTAACTGTTTACTGAAACAAGCGCACTGAACTTATGTTGTTTATCTAGAATTATGATGGATTATAATATAAAAACTTTAGGTAGGGTAATAAATGGTTGTACAGTGACAATACAAGCCATAAATATGGTTATTTATATTTTCAGTGATAAGATAGGTAAGATTATAGGTACATACAAAATTTAGTGAACGTCAAATTTTTGTTATAGTGGTCGTTGTTATTAATAATAATTGGTAAATTATGATGGTTTCAAAACTTTTTGCAGTGATTGTCATCAGTATCTTGACAATTTTTTCAACATATGTATTAGTAAGTTGCCACTACATTTGTATAAATACATAGTGTTGTAGCCAAAATTTTATTGGGAACATTTTTGGACACAAAATCCTCTTTTGAAGAAAGCAAATAACCATTTGTTGGGTAACAAATACGACGTACATTTTCTTGCAAATATAGTCTTAAGGGCCGTGGTCTTAATCGTCGATCATTTTTAAATCCATTACATTCTGGCATTTATTTAAAAATCCTTACTCAATATGAACATTTATATAGGTATAGTTCTGTCATGTTATTTTCGTGAACAATAGAAATAACAATAATGAGATGATGATAACAATAATCCATTAAGCAGTTTTTCTATTAAATTAATCAAAAAAGTTCAGATACCCCCAGTCCAATTAAAAAAACCAGTGCCACACAAAGTTTATTTAAAGAAAATAAAATGGTGAAGGAAACTTCGAATTGTAGACCTGCCTATTTTCTTAAAATGGATGAGCATTTTCCGAAATATTGTTAACGTTTTCCAGTAAACACAAAATTTATATATAAAAAAAACCTATTTTTGGAAAATGTAATCTCAAAAAAATAGTGGTAACTGTGAACGTTCAATTTAAACACGAGTAAGGAAAGTATCATGTATCAATAAGGAGTAAACTGTAGTGAGAACGTTATTTTTGTAGGGATATATCATTTCTGTTGTTTCTATATTGCGTATTCTTTAGTAATATCATTTATGGTTCAAAGAGAGACAGAAGATAATGTTTTCTGTCTCTCTCACTGCTATGGGCTTTGCAACCAGACTAAAAAAAATAAAACTACCTCAAAAGCATTTTGTAAAAGTAGATATCGTTGCGATTAATAAGAGAAGCCAATTCGCACCCCCGTAATTTAAATTAACCAATAGTACAACAATTATTATCAGTTATAATATAACAAGTGATATGATTATTATCGATAATATTTCGAGTGAAACCGAGCTGCAGATTCAACGAGTGCGAAGCACGAGTTGAATGTGCTGCCTCAGTTTTACGAGTCATGTCTTCGATTATTTATTAATCACATCACGAGGTATATTCAACATGAGAATATAATGAATGAACACATTTTTTGATAATAGAATTGATTTCATCGTTTTGAGCTTGCCCCCAAAGTTGGCAAGCCATAATAGACAGAAAATTTTATGAAATTCTAAATTTTTTTTCAAATTTGACAGTTTTGAAATTTAGATAGCAACAGACCACAATAAGGTAATAAAATTATTATCGCTATGATAGCCATGTAACTAAGGGCATGAACAAATTCTATTGGAAGAAATGGGGTCATGTGATCCATGAATTATATTCTCAATCAAGGAATACGAGTGGTTGGGGACTGCAATCTTATCCCGAGAGAGAGGTTCGATATATTGCTTTACCGTTTTGATTTTCAAATCTTTTGAGGCCACTTGGTAATATAAAATCGGCCACATTTGAACCCAACTCCTTTCGAGTTTACTGAAATTTTTATATTTTTTCCTACCCCACTAAATACATTTCTGAGAATTTTTTCAAATTTTTTTACCCAATTAAAAAGAAGTTATGAATTTTTCAAAAAAGGCTCTTTTTTTTCAAAAAACTGTAACTGGTTCAAAAATTGAGTTAGCGGGACTTTTTTTGTCAAAAATTTTGGCTTTAAATGTATTTTTTAGAAAAAAATTGAAATAAAATGTTTGATTTGAGGTTCTATGAGATTTTTCACTTTTTGAGAAAAACCGTGAATTTCTGGAAGTTCGAATTTTTGATTATTTTTTTTTTCTTTATAAAAAACTTTGATTTTTTCTGGACATGATTTTTTCTGAAGAGTACATTTAAAGACAAAAATTTTGAAAAGAAAAAACGTCCCGATAACTCAATTTGCCAAAATCAGTCCTTATACTACTATCTTACTAGCTACTACCGTCTTGAACTTCACAGGTCAATATATTTTGAGTGGTTACAAAAATAACATGAAATAGTATGTTGAGTCCAATTTGTGGTACGTTAGTTATCTTGTTTAACAATATATTTGGTATTAATAATACTGTAACTGAAGTTTTTAAGTTAGTATATGTAGAGGATTAAAAAAATGTATAAAGTTTCCAGAAAAACCTGTAGGCTAGTTTGACAGGACTTTCAAAATTTATACAAATATGCTGTAGTTTTTCATAATTTGCCACACTATACGTAAATGCGAATGGATTATGTCCTATATTTTAACAGTGTGTCTTTTATAGGGAAATGAGAAGATATGTAGATTTATGACCCCGAGACTTGATGGTTTAATACGTCTCCAGGCTCGTAGTTTATGGAATCCATTAACTGGATATTTTTGCTACAACTATACAGGAGATTATCGTTTAAATTTTATATATCAAACTGAAATTATAGAAATTAATGGCTCTGCGATCAATGTTACATGGGTAAAAACACATATTTGTTTACTTTATATATATTTTTTTAGTTTTTGTAGATTGATAACAATTCTTATTTCTTGTATGACTATACAAATGAAACGTCGTTAGACTACATTCGGCGCTCTTTCAAAAAAGACATATTTTTTGAAAAATGGAAAACTTGCTGCCGCGAAGCTGCTCACTGCTGTGATGTCCATATGACAAGTGAAAATATTTATCCAAGTTAGTAAAAAATTTCACTGTCAGTAATTTTACAGAGCTTGTTTCATTCAAACAAACGTAGCCGTTTTTAACATGTTAAATTTATTACAGTTTGAAACGAGCTTTTTTTCACATGTTTATAACACGTACAAGATGATGTATGGTCTGAGCATAATGAATTAATTTGCAAAAAAAGCTACACAAAAAAATCAAAATTTGTATAAATTTACATATTTGCAGTAACTTAAATTGTAAATTTTTGATTTTGACATTTTTTGTGTCCGTGAACATAAGGACCAGAAAATAAAAATATGTATAAATAAATAAATACTATAATTTTCAGATATCGACTATCCTTGTCCAGCTGTCTGGGACAGCTGGACATGTTTTCTCCCTGCAAAGGCTGACACCATATCGAGAGAACTGTGTCCAACGGTGACCTTTTCAGCCGAAACCCGAGCATGTGAATGTGAGAAAATGAAAAAATCTTGTACTTTTCTCGAAATTTTATTAATTTTAACATTACAGTGTTCAGTAAAAAAACGTGCTTTTCTGGTGGCTACTGGAACCCTACCACAGACTATGAAACCACTTGTGCTCTTGCCCCAATTCTTCTCCCTCGCCATGATTTCCACGTCACAATTTTGGCAGTATCAGCAGCTTTATGTGTACCTGCTGTACTAATATTTTTTAGTTTTCGAAATTTCCGTCAAAAAGTGATGTTTATTTTGCACAGGAATTTAATTTTGGTTATCGTAGTGAGAAATTTGTTGACTATTATGTCTAAGGAAATTATCTTGAAAGATGAATTGATATCTGCAGATCTGGATACAGTGATGAGCAGAAATAGTGTATCTTGCAGGATTTTGGCTTTTTTCGAGAACGTGGCCAAAAATGGAATTTTTAGTTGTATGTTGGCTGATGGTTTCTACTTGCATAAATCCATCGTCAGACCGTTTACTGCTGACCCGAAGCTTGTTTTTATATATTCTGCAGTTTTAAGTAAAATTTCTATTGTTAATAGAGCGTTAATTTTTATGTATTTATTTTTCTAGTATTTTCATTTTTACCATCTTTGGTATGGGCTCTTCTGAGAGGTTTAGATCATGGGACTCACTGTTGGATGGTCGATAATTCTAACCACCAGTGGGTTTCAGATGGATTTCGTTTAGGCATTTTAGGCATAAACACTTTTCTCTTGCTGGATATTATAAGAGTTATAGTGATGAAACTGAGAGACAGGGGAATTTCTGAACAAGCCAAGTAATCTTACTAAATTTACTAACTACAAAGTTAATAATTAATTTTTTCATAAAACTATATTTTAGGACAACATTTCGAGTGACTTTATTTTTAATTCCACTTTTTGGTATCCACATTATCGTCATTTCAAATCGTGACATAGTACCCAGCAACACGTGTTCAGCACAAGATATATATTATTACATCAGCTACATGTTAGAGGGATTTCAAGGAATAATTGTAGCTTTTCTATTTTGTTACACCAATTCTGAGGTTCGTCTCGATGAAGTTAACTTTCACACTTGAAAAGAGAGTTTTTAGGTACATCATGAATTAATGAATGCCATGAGGAAGATATATATTTCTTTCCAACAACGTTTAGACAATAATTTGAATAACAAAAATTTGGCGAAAAGAAGACCTACAACAGCAACTTACGTTGAATCGGTATCTGATTGAGTCGCATTTTTGTTAATTAATATATTTTTTTATTTCGAAAATACTTATATCATATAATTACCACACCACGTTATTTTTCTTTAAACATGAATTTATAAAGAAATAACAAAATAAAACATTATTAAATTAATTAGAATAAGTCGTGTTTGTTACTATAACACATAATCGAATTCGAAACTCAAGTTTTTATTATAATTGTTAAAGTTTTGTTGTTATTTTTAAAATACTGCTACTAATTAATTTCTTCTAATTTAGGATTTTTTTAGTTCCTTATCTTGACAGTTTATTTCCGTCATGTCCGTTAATCTTTAGATGCCTCCTAATTTTTGTAAAAACAATATAGTTTAATATTAATATCGAAATTGTGTATTTTAATTAGTAACAAATACATATTTTAATCTAATTAATACTTATCTGTTTTAGATTGATAATTTTTTATTTATATTTCTGTTATTGCTATATTATCTCTACTTTCTTATCAGTTTGAAAAAATACACAGGTACTTTATAAGAGGTTCTGCCATATGATTTCTGTCAAAAAGTGGAATCAAGAAGAACATTTGCAGATACTCGAAGATATTAATATTATTATTCGTCCAATAAAGTTTAAATTAATTTTATCATCACCTTCCGATAATAAAAGTATATCAATTGGAATTTGATTAATGACGTCGTCACAACAATAAGTATAGATTCATTCATTGATAAGATTATAAAGCTGAAGTTTATTTAGTATTAATCGTCCTGATGTCTGAATGACTTCATTAGAAATATAGACATTTTTTTTATTTATTTGTAACTAATCAAACCTATACAACAATGGTTCTGAAATGTGGAGTGATATTTACATGTGTTGTGGTGTTATTGCTTCAGGCACCAGAGAGTGTAAGTAAGATGTTTAAGTATGTATAGATAAGATTTTCTATTTAGTTAAAATATGACAAGTGTTTTAAATTTTATGTTTTTTTCGGTGTCATGAATATAATTTGAGCATAATAATTTAAATTTACCATCCTAGAGTAGTACGTAAATCATTTGTGTGTTAAATAAGTTCATATAGGAATATAATCTGATTCTATACAATAATTAGAGGTTAAGTTGTGTTTTGACATTCTGTACTCTTTCCTGATTTCTGTTTCCCTTTTGTTTACAGCCCACGATTAATTTTGTTTCTCTCGTATATCTTACATTTTGCGAACTCATACTTCTTGACCTTTATTTCACAACATTTAGTGTTCTTTCCAGATGTTGTAACCATTGCCCTAAAATCATCCACTCCAGACTCTTTTCTGTGTCTTGATATTTCCATGTGTATAGTATTAGTATTTTCTCTCCTTAATCCGTTCCTGCTCTGCTACTCAAAGCTCTAATCAGAATATTTAGCATAAGATGAGAATTCAAGATAATCTTTTTCACAACTGAGATGATTATCTAAAATGTTTGATATATGAGACAACCTTTCACGGATTTACGAACTTTCTGGAAATAAATTTTTATTCAACGTTTTCTCGTATTCACTCAGTAAAATCCATAACTACAGGAAGACTATTCTAAACAAATTTAGATAATAATGTGTCAAGTTTGGTCCTTTAATTTTCTAATTATTAAAAATTAATTCTTTTGAAAAGTGTGACTCTCCCTCTAATTTCTCCTTTTTTTTTATTATACTGCCAAATAAGTAGTTGCAGCTCTTTTCTGAATACAAAATCATCAAAAATTGGTTGGTTTTCTTTTGCCACAGGATGAAGGTGATAAGTTTTCGTCTTTGGTTACAAGAAATTAGTATAAAAAATGTTATTTCTGGACCAAGGTATTTGATCCATGCAAAAATCATTGAAACAAGACCATAAAAGAATATGAAACAACTTAAAAGAGTCCAAAATCCTTCAAAAATTCCTATTATTTAGATATCCCAAAAGTACTTAAAAAGATCTATATAAACTCTCGAAAATTAGATACATGAAAAAATGGCTGAAAGTCTCGTAAAATCAAGCAAAATTACCTCAAAAGCATTCTATCTTGCTTTTAGGTACCCTAAAATTGCTTTTTACTTCTGGACCAAGCGAAAATTGTTAGAAAACGACTGCACAAAGATATGAAAAAAAAAACTTAATTTTTATACACTCCAAAAGTACCAAAAGATCTATAAACCACAAAAAATTGAGCACATGAAGAAAAATGGTTCAAAATAGACAAAAAGAACCAAAGACAGATTTTTCAGAGCAAAGAGATTAAGTTATAAATTTTAAACTAAGAATTCTGACTAAAGAAATACAAAAAATATTGTCCCTTAATCAATTTTTTAATGTGTTGTTAAGTGGAGCACGGAGAATTAAGTTTTTAAATTTTTAGGATTAAATAACAAAAAAAATAAACATTTACCTAAGTAACAAATCTGGCAACAATAAGGTAACCGTGGATTATGCTGGCTGCAGTGCTGAGCATTCTCGAGATTTTTGTGCGATTTTTGGGAGAAACTTTGATTATTTAATAGTGCTGTTATGGACACAGTTACAATGGATTCATATTTTGCCTTCTATGGTGTTTTTAAATACACGTTTTGCGGGCATTTCTTCCATTTTCACTTCCCGAGCGTAAGCTAAGGAAGTATAGTAATCGAGTCCATCGGCTGAATTGCCACTTTCATATTTTTTCGACGTGTCATGATCTTTAGAGTATGAAAAAAGTGGTCTTCCGTTTCCGTCTGTCTGTCTGTCTGTCTGTCTGTCTGTTTGTCTGTCTGTCTGTCGGTGTGTCTGTCAGGTGTTTGTATCCATTTTTATAGTACAGTATGTATGTATATTAGAAATATCACGTAGATGGTTAAACGCTAACTAAAATTTGGGTAATCATCTCCATCACCAATGGGATGACGTCATTTCCAAAATTTATAATAAAAAGTTTGTTTAAATTTTATAAAATAAGATACTCCTGTACTTGTGGTGTGTGAACAATATTTTGCAATATAACTTTGAAACTTCAAAACCGATTGCTCTGAAATCTTGTAAATATTTTAAGGTTGACGTAATCATGGTAAATCGTCAAACAAAATGTATTCGTTTATCCCCTCCCAAAAAATTGATTACGTGATCTCAAAATTTTGCCGAATAAATTATCATTGCATTAAAAGTTTTTAATTTCTTGTACAGGGTGATTCATACAAATTAATGAATGAGTCAATTTATTTTATTGATTACATCGGGAACGGCCCACTCCGTTTTCCCCAAAATTTAGGAATACAATACTGTTATCACTAGTATTACACATCGAAAGTGATATGTATAAGTGTATTTACAAAAATCACAAAATTTTGTTACGGGAAAACTCATTTGGAACGGTTCTTTATATTTACTTTAACGTTACATACATATCTTGATTTTAACTTATAAGTGTTCTCATAAAAAAATAAAGTTCGCATAATCAAATTTATAATTTTTCGAAAAAGCTGGGTTTGTTTTATTCTATTTCAGGGGCGAGGGTAGTTCTGTCTAAATAACCTTAGACCAATTTTTATATGTTGCTAATACTTTATTGATGATCGCTATCTTGGTAAATTTTTATTGAAGTGATTAGGCCAGCGCCCGACTTTCCTTGGAATCCGGAATTAAAAAATGATTTGATCAGTAATACTGAGAACAGTAAGAAGATAAATCACGGTATATTAATTCATAAATTTGATGCTCTAGGATTTTCTTCACATTCCTTCAATTTTTTTATGTCGTATCTTTGTTCTGACTTTCAAAAATATCACGAGTTCTTTGATCCTTGGGATCCTGAGTAAGAATCTGGATTATGTTTGTTCTTATGTTCAGTTTGTCTAGTCTGTCATAAACACGTGACACGAAAGGTATCTTACAGTTTTGTTTCATGGACACCAAGCCTCACAAGAGGCGAATAAAAAAATATCCTATTGAGAGATATAAATATAATGCTATGTAACTATAGTAGTCCAAGAGCTGTAAGGTTATTGTGTCGAAGTTAAGTTGTTTACAATAATCTCTAAATCTAAGCAAGAAATGTTTAGAAGACGATTTATTGCCAACTGGTAAGCTTAGTGCGAACCATACAAAGGGGTATTTATTTGCGGTCAACTATTTTTATGATGGTCATATAACCTTATAGCTCTTGGACTACTTTAATTAGTAGGGTTTTAAAAATTTTTCCTTCACGTGTTCAAAACGTACTTTAGTAACTTGGAAAGGGAGATTCGTATGTCTGGACAAGTAAAACATGTACATTTATCCGTTATTTTAGGTCAATGTCCTGAATTAAAAAGATCCATCACAATAACACTAGTGCGAGACTTGACCCGTATCACTCTAAGTTAGTCAGTTTACGATCCAAAAAAAAAAGTCATTTGTCAACGTTAGCTATCAACTGGATTAGGCCCAGTGTTCGTATCTACTTTTTAGTTGTGGCCTGGCGTCTTTTGGAGTGGGTTAGCGGAACTGGTGAGCGTTATTTCCGTATGGAGGATGTGAGAGATACAGTATGATCCTCTTCGGTACAACTATGTTGTCAATTATGCAAAAAATAGCCTCTCTTGTTTTGTGTCAGCTCCCAGTTGGCCAAAGTTTTCAATTCCTAATCGAAGATCTGCAAAATTTGGTAGTTTTGTCGCAATTGATACCAGGTACTTGTCGGACCGATGGTAGTCTTAAAGGTTTGGTTCTTCCAACTTGACAAGCTTAGTTATGGATGACGGTTCTGAGTTAGCCTTATCTGTTTGGAAAGCGAAGGGACAGTGTGCTCTTTTAGAGTACAACTTTATTACATGATCGTTTTCCGGGTTGGAACCGTGTTAACTGAATTTTTGGGCTCAACGTTTCGCACACTTTCGTAAGTGGCATCTTCAGGAGCAGGGTTAAGAATAAGGCAAAAGAGCACGGTGACTCAGTATGTCAACCATACCAGAGGCGAAACTCTTCTGTCGACTTTTTCTTTTTTCGATCATGTGTTTTACTGAGTACGACAGGCGATGAATTTGTGTGGTACCTCATCTTGTGTAGATTTTGTAAAGCTGATTTAAAGGTAATGGAATCCATTATTTGAAGAATACAGGGGAAAACAAGCAAGTTTCCAAAATTAACAGTTTAATTTTTGAAGGTTAACATGATTTTTCGGAGAAACAGTTTTTGTACTAACTGCTTCATACAGAAAAAAAACTCTTATGTAAATTAGAATTCTTAAACGCTTAACAGAAATATAGCACATAATTTTAAACCTTTACGGTGTCGAAAATATCAATAGTTTTAAGCATTTAAGTGTGCTTATACCGTTACGTTGATCGGTGAATAAAAATTTCATTTCTAACCTTAGTAACTCCAATTGATACGACTAACTATGCAGCGATTATGTACAGAATAATTCCGACTCGACTGGAATGGATTTGACTAGATTTCTCCCATTGTCTGTATGTACTACACTGCCCCCGACGGTGGTTCCCCATTTAACAGCCGCGCGGTCCCTCTTAAAGTTTTCCGTCACCGCTTCTAGGCTTGTTTTGGAAAACTCATCGTGACATCCGGTTCCAGGCTTTTCTCCGACCGCCGTCACCGACAATGAGTTATCATCGCCGTACATACTAGAACTCATAGGCGTTATACCGGGGCGACGTATGGGTTTATTTCGTAACAATAGGTTTTCTTTTGATATAGTTAGATAAAAAAAATATCAAACCAACAATTTTACTAACCGCCTAATTTCGTTATGTACACAAAGATCAAAGATTGTATATGGAGTGAAAAAACCTGTATTTTAGTGAAACTATTTCGAGTAAACTGATAACCACTAGGCGGAAAAGTATCTTACGGATGCAGTTCCCCAGTTGAAGCAAGGTGTGTTTGACGGCGAGTAGCGGGGACGCTTTGATCTGGTCCACAAGGTCGTAGCCAGTGCGTCGCTAGGAGTGTTTACAGCTTGTTAAAAAACTACTTCTATATTACTATATTACTTCAAATAAAAATACTCGATGCCATTTTTAATTTTTCAAACACAGGACCACAGATTTGTGATCTTGAAATGTTATATTATGTTGATATAGTCCAAAAGAAAAATATATTTGTAATCAAACTATCGCCGCGACAGCACTGGATCTAGCGTATGAAACACAATTCCGCGCGTTGCTGATAACGAACCCTTTAAATGTGACTAATGTTGTCAATTTTCGTTGCAACCGATATTATCATATTCTGAGAATTTACGTGTAAATAATTTATTTGTCAGACATTGAGAACTGTAATTTTAGTTGAAAGAAGTAGCTGGACCAAAGAATGTTAACGTATTGTTACGATGATCGGTGAATAAAATCGGCGTGGGTTAAACTCAATAATTTATTTCTTAATAACTCGAATTTACACAACTAACTATTACAGTGATTATGTACAAAATAATCTCGGCGCGACTTGTCTGGTTGTTCGTAACATTCGCTAGAATAATCTCGTTCCCGAAGGTGACATCCATATTCCCTTCTCGATGTTTCGCAATCGAGGTCTTTTTCCAGTCTATCGCGACTTCCGCTTCTAGGCCATTCTTTAGCGAATGCCGCTTCGACCGGCCGATGAGTCATACTACATACTAGAAGAAACAAATACATACTAGAAGACCCATAGGCGTCGTACCGGGGCGGCCTATGGATTTATTTCGTAACAGTATAATACGGTAATGATCTTTGGTTCGACGTAACATCGTATATGGGTATTAACATCAAATTTACAATCGCAGAAGTTAACTATATGGCATTTTGTTAATCCTAATTTGTTGTTATTGTTTAACAAAAGTGCAAAAAACTAAATAAGCTCCAAATATTACGTATAAATGTTTTTCGTAATTTATAAAATTTTATCATTTTTTTGATAACTCCTACACGTTAAAAAATATAGATAATACCAGTCACAATGTAAGAAAAAAAGACACATAAGGAGATCGAACTTGCAACAGAGTCGGACCCGCGACCTTCGCATTAGTAAGACAACGTTTGAAACAACTGAGCCAGCACGACCGACGCACTTTGTAATTCTTATTAGTATGCCTATGGTAAATTAAGGTTGATTCATAAACCACAACCACAGGAATAGGTTACATTATAAAGTCTAATGGAATTTACTGTGAAAAATTTTGAGTTGACGTCATGATGATTAGACAAATTTTGGTTAGCGTTTTACCATCTACATGATTTCCTAATATACTTACATATGTATAAAATTTGCTAACAATCGGTCTGGTAATTCCGGAGATCATCTGTTTAATAAAAACCAACAGAGACAGACATATGACATATAGACGAAAAAAAGTAGCCAGTCCCCCCAATGGACTTGGTTACAATACTTCCTTAGCTCGGGAAGTAAAAAGATGAAAAATTAGCCACTGTTATCAGCTTCATTCTGTATAATATTTAAATTTTTTATGTCTTTTACATTTGGCCTCAAGGATTTTTTAAATTAATTTTTCTTTGCTTAATAATAACCGGTCTTTAACAGTGTGCCATAGTAATTTTGAATCATCCTATATAAGAGCAAAATGTCATTTTTGTTTTTAATAAAAGTATATTCGCTACCACAGTAATGCAAAATCATTATTTTTAGGTAACAGCAAAAATTTGTATACTCAGAGAACGCAATTTTACCAGCGAAATTTGGGATTTTTGGACGGGTTATTACTGCTACAATTACACACCGGACTTTCGACTGAATTTCAGATATACAAACATCACCGGTTATATTTTGAATGGTTCTCAAATTCCAGTAGCTTTGATTCCTGACGAAGTAATACATACTATTATAAAATTATACATAGGTGTAACAGTTTTTGTTATAGGAAACCCAATACTTCTCTTTCCACTACAAAGATCCAACTTCTTTACAATATCTCAGAAAGTCTTTTCAAACAGATCATTTTTTCGGTTTGTGGATAAACTGTTGTGAAGAGGCCTCTGACTGCTGTGAAAATTCCATGACAGATGAAAATGTTTATCCAAGTTGGTTATTTATGTTTAAATATTGTCGCATTAATAAATGTATCAATTTTTAGCCGAAGAATACCCCTGTCCGGCTATTTGGGATGGCTGGACTTGCTTCGATCCTGCAAAAGCTGGCACCATCCAAAAAGAGACTTGCTCCAAACAAGCTTACTCCACAGAATCTGACGTATGTGAACGTAAATAATCATTCGCTAAACTTCTTCGACCACCTTTATCAATTTTCTTTTAGTCCAAAGCGAAAAAACATGTTTTGCAAATGGTACCTGGAACCAAACGACAGACTATGGAGTTTGTGCCATAGCACCAGTCCTTCGACACAGACATACTTTCAACGTCATCGCGTTAGCCATTGCTACGGTGATATCTTTCCCAGCGGTGGTCATTTTTTTCAGTTTGCGTACGTTCAGAAAAAATCTGCGTTACATTATGCACAGGAATTTAATTCTGATTATTGTTATCAGAAACTTGTTAACTATCATGTCCAAACAGATCATTATTTTGGATGCTCTTAACTCGACTGGAACTACCGTAATGGACGAAAATAGTGTGGCGTGTCGAGTTTTGGCGTTTTTTGAAAATGCTGCCAAAAATGGAATGTTTGCATGTATGCTTGCGGACGGATTTTACCTTCACAAGCTTATTGTTAGAGCTTTTGCAAACGAACCCAGTTTAACATACATTTATGTTGCCGTTTCAGGTAATCACACTTTTGAGTTTTTGAGTAGTAAATGGCTTTAGTAGACTCTTAAACTAGCTCTTGAACTTAGTCCTCTTGGAGGTAGTACTATATTTACCTGATTTTAGTTTTGTCGTTTCTACCATCGCTTATATGGGCCATCGTGCGTAACGATCATGGAGCAAAAGACTGTTGGATGGTTGACGATACCAACGATCAGTGGATTATCGATGGTTTTCGTATTGCCATTTTAGTTATAAACTTTCTGTTGTTGTTGGACATAATTCGAGTTATGGTAATGAAATTAAAACGTGGTAGCGTATCTCAACAGGTTAAGTAAGTATTGATTACACCTCTGGAACAGGATTATACTTTACATACATTGTAGGTCAACGTTTCGAGCAACATTATTCTTGATACCACTTTTTGGTATTCACATTGTTATCATTACCAACAGAAACATCGTTCCTAGCAATACGTGCGAAGCGCAGGATATTTATTACTATATTAGTTATTTAGTTGAGGGGTTACAAGGAATCATGGTAGCTCTTTTGTTCTGTTATATTAATTCAGAGGTTCGTCGTTTATATTTTGTGTTCTAGTTATTTAAATAATTTTTTTAGGTACGAGGGGAGCTGGAAAATGCTTTCAGAAAATTTGTGCTATATTTGGAACAAAGATTCGACCTAAAATTTGAAAAAAAGGAGGACTTGAGGAGAGCAACAACAGCAACTTACGTAGAGGCGTATAATCGTAAATAGATATCATTTTGATTTAGGAACATATCATCATTTCTCGCTTTTGTGATCTATTAGATATGTAAGATAAACTTACTTAGATGTTAGTTTAGACGTTTAGAAAATGCACTTTAGTTTTTTCTGAAATCAATAAAATGACATAATTTCTGAAAATGTTTTGGATAATGTCGAAATTAAACTTGACAATAATGAGTTACAGGTCAATTTAATGATTATTTTGAGGTGCTTAAGGCGATATCAACATAAGTTTTAATCCGAAAAGTTATCCTTTTAAGTCATTGACAACACAGTTTACATGTAATAGTTATTAATTAGATTTGTTTGTATGACTTAAGATTATACTTTTATGGTAAGTTGTATGAACTCCCATATCTTTAAGTACAACCAAATTTTGTATCGATAAAATCGCATAGAAATTTTTAATACCTAAGTGTTATGATATGAGGATACGTTGAAGTAGGTTAAGTGGCATGTTATGTGAAAGGACATATTCAAAAAGTTGTAAGTAAATTGATGACTAGATCCAATTATTTAAAAAAGAACATATACAAGAAAAAAACCTGTAGAAATTTTTGGAAGTTTTTGATCAACTGTGTTATAAAATAAGTTTAGAGATATTATCTACATTTCGTCAATGAATTATTGTTATAAATACTAGATCTTTAAGTAGATTAGTTTTTAGTAGAATAAGAATATTTTTTGTAACATGTGGCTAACTTAAAACCAAAATTTTGATAAATAATTAAAATATTAGTAATTGTAATTTTATACTTCATACCTTCATACTGCCGAGTGAGTTTGCATACAGTCGGTTGTTCTGAGGTTTTCATCTCATTTTTACTTCCCGATTGTAAGCGAAGGAAGTATTGTAACATTTGTCTAATCATCCCCACCAATAATGTGATAACGTCACTTCAAAATTGTACATAGTACATGGGTTTTAAATTATATAAAATAACATAGTCCTACACATCTAGTTTATGAGTCCGTGTTGAGTTTTTACTCGAAACGGCCAGACTTTTGGAAAAAAAATCAAAATTATGAAACAACATTTTGCAATTTAATTTTGAATCTGCAAAACCGAATGCTTTGAAATCTTGCAGATGTTTTATGATAGACATGATAAATTTACAAAATATATTTACTTATCCCCTCCAAAAAATTTATATTAATAAATGAGTCAATTTATTTTATTGAATAAATCAAGAATTGCAAAACTGAATGCTTTGAAATCTTGCAGACGTTTTAAAGTCATTGTAAGCATGGTAAATTCAAGTTATTTTTCTTATTGAGGATAACCTAAGTAATGGAGTCCATCGGGCAATTTGGTACTTTCACATTTTCTCGATATTTCATAACCCCTAGACAAGGCTGTAGTTAGGGGGAGGCTAGGGAATGCTGAACCTCCCCTAGATCCAGACAAGTTATAATTAACCAAATGTGAATTGCAACATCGAAAATAAAAATAAAAGGTAGCGTTTTCTTCAATAAGCGTAAGTCAGAGGAATAAAAAAGTCCGGACCGTTGGTATTGTGATCCGGTTATTGCAATTCGTAGAAAACATATGTTAGTTTAGTTTTTGTTTCACTCTCATGTTTGCAGGTTGATAGGTGTTATCGCGATTTGTTTTAAATTACGAGTACCATAAATTTTCAATTCAGTCTTCAGTCGCACCTCTGTTATTCCAAACGCAGACGTGATTAAATTGTTTCGTTATTTTATTAATTATAAATCACTATTCAAGAATAACAATAATACAATACTTTTATTATTAGTACTACAATGCATCCATCCAAACTGATATACGCGTCCTTGCAAAAATGTGGATGACATCAACACAAAATTTTGTAACAGAAAAACTCACTTTAGATAATATATAATTTTCAATATTTAGTTAATAAAAGAGGTAAATATTATTGTACAGAATAGATATTACGTACATAATTACTTGCTAACTTAATTTTTAATCTTAATTCAACTTAGTAAACATACAATTCAGTAAGTGGTATTCTTTCGTGTTAAAATTAAACTCAACATTCAATTACAATTAGTTGAAAAAAAAAAACAACAATCTGTCATTAGTTTCTGTCAAAAGTAATGTACAACAAGTATCCAGTACTACTATAAAAATAAATGAATGCATTACATCTAATTGCTTTGTTTTTATTCAGTGATTTGAACATATCAGTGACAAGGTTTAACACGCAGTTAGATTTAATTGAAATGAATTTTGTACTTGAAGTGCCAATTTGAATCAACATGTGTTACTTCAAAATTTTGAAAATAAGATTACTTTGGCAAAATATATTGAAAATGTTTGGTCAAACCCTTTAAAATTGTTCAAACGTTTTTCGAAAATTTTAGCTGTTCATTTTTTCCATTTGTTTGGCAAAGAGTTATTGGGCGTTTTTTCTTTATCAGATTAAATTTCTGTTTCTATTCCAGTAGTAGATAAGGCAAGCTTTTACTTTTCGATTTGACGTGGTCCACAAAACGACGGGTTCACTGAATAAAACTAATTTGAGTTAAGAAAATACCAGAAAAAAAATGCTGAAAATTTGCTTTTCCTCAAATGCATTACGAACACAAATTTTAATTTTGTCAGTTCGCCAAAAATAAATAAAGCGGTTCTAAAAGCTAGAGCTGATCTCACTGTTTGTAATCCAGTCGAGAGAAAAAAGTCATGGTTCATGACATTTTTTTACACATCAGTTATCATCGCTGTCGGATATTTTAGCGACCCTGTGCACGCAGAGAATAAAAACTAACAGGTGATTAAGTGTAAATATTTACTGGTTGACACTATGACTAATATTTATAATATTGTGTTCCAGTCTAGATATAATAAAACTAAATATTCGTTATGAAATTAAAAACAAATATCTACCTGTTGCATTATAAATTACCACTAAAATTTGTGGTGAATACTCGTAGGCATGTAAATATTTTTTCGATTAATTATAGCGTACGTCATTCCTTGAACAGGTAAAGTTCATCAAGGTGATTCGCATGTTATTTTTCGCCATCCAATATAAAAGTTATTTAAGTTTAACCGTTGTTAGTAATCTTCAACTGTTTCCCGCGAGAAGTTCAAGAATTCGACTCTTTTATTTGTTAGTGTCCTAAATTATTAACTAAAATGAAAACAGTCCGCAGTTATTTTTTGTTATTTGTACTGTGCTGTGGAACTGCCGCACAAACCGGAAGAACTTTCCTGGAAGAATTTTTAGGACCATATAGAGTTGCGAGGCGCTTGCTGATGGAAGTTCAGTTACAGTCAAAACAGAACAACAAATCCCCTTACCGAAAAAATGTTAGTTTTCGTTTATGAGTAGCATTAGTGTTAATGTATCAACTGTAGCAAATTCAGCGACAAGTACCAGATTCGGTACCATTTCCATGTGATGTACGGAACGCCCGAAGTCTTTCTAAGCCATTATCTGTTCATCAGATTAAACCTGGTGATATTGATGTAACAGCAGCACTAGGTGATAGTTTAACGGCTGGAGTAGGTGCAACTGCGATTAATGTGCTAGAAGTACTACTTGAAGAAAGAGGAAAATCGTTTCCTATTGGTAAAATTTTCCCTTCAGTAGTGATCAACAATAAATTGTTTGCTGCAGGTGGTGAAGGTAACTGGAGGCAGTACCTAACGTTGCCAAATATACTAAAAATGTTCAACTCCAACCTAATAGGGTACGCAGTGAAGACTTCTTTGACAATACAGCAAGAAAGTCAGTTCAATGTTGCAGAAATAAATGCTATATCGTCAGATATCCCTTACATGGCAAGAGAACTTGTTAAAAGAATGAAGTCAACTAAATGTGTTAATATAAACGAGGATTGGAAGGTATAAAAGTGATAAAGGTAGCATAACATTACATTTAGTTTTTAGATGATTACAATTTTTATAGGAGCTAATAATTTTTGTGATGCTTGCTATTTGGAAGATATGACGGCTGCACTGGAACAACACAGGAAAGATATGATCGAAGTTTTACGAATACTTAGAGACAATTTACCTCGAACTATTGTTAATTTTGTTCTACCTCCTCGTAAGATACTCATGGTGTACTTTTTAACTAAAAGCTTTATTGCTAATTACAGATCTTAAAATCATAGTTGAATTGAAGACAGAAAATCCTGCTTGTTCTTTTATTCGTGCCGGCCTATGTTCGTGTTTATTTGGTCACAGAAGTACACAAAAACAAGTGCTGTATGAGTTCATGGACAAATGGTTAAAACTAGATATGGAAATAGGCAATATTGATGAGTTTGACACAGATGATTTTACGGTGGTTGTTCAACCCTTTTTACTAAATTATAATTTCCCTACATCTGCACCAGGTGTGGCCGACTCACAATATTTATCAGCGGACTGTTTCCATTTTAGCCAAAAAGCACACGCTAGAGGTATAAAAATATAAAAAAAACGTGTTTTAGTTCTATTGTTTTCATTGTAGTTGCTAATGATTTATGGAATAATATTATGGAACCTGTTGGTAACAAATCATTTGGCGGGAACAGAGTGTTTGAAAAATTTAACTGCCCGTCGGACAAAAGACCTTATATTTTTACTAGACGTAATAGTTAGATTTAACTACAAAAATGAGAACTGATAATAATTAAGAATCCAAAGATTTTTTTTCAAAAATGACTGACAGGCTGGAAAATGTATTATACACCAACATGGAGGTAATAAAGGGGAAAACCAGGGAGTTGTTCGTGACCTTAGTAGTATTTTAGACTGATGTTTGCACCTGTATAAAATAATATAATCATTATTAAAATGTCATTACATTATATCTTTTTTAATCGCTTTTGTTTGCACCTCACCTTATTTGTGTTTAAATTATATATACATATACATATTTAAAATACAAACATAATCAATCTTTCTTTGTTGTGTAGTTAAAAAAAATATAGTTCTTTCGATTCCAGTTCCACTTAGGTCACCGACCTGTTTACTAAAACACAATAACATTAAAAAATAACACTCAATGTTAAATGAGAAAAAAAGTGGAAATTGTATCTACTTAATTAACATATTTATTTCTTCAGTAACCTGAACTTTCAAAAATAATAACTAGTGTTAACGTACTTTGCTCTAGACACTACAGTTTGCTGTCAAGGTGATTTTGCTTCAACAAGGTAAAGGTTGCTAAGAAATTCACTCACGTCGTATAACGAGATGATAGTTTGACGAGTGAGATCGGTCGAACAACAACAAAATCTTGTTAGAAAAAAACGCTTTTTTATTACTAATTTTAATGTTATCAGTTCCTAGGTAGGTACGAGGAAGGTAAGAGTAAAATATAATAAATATGTATAATGTTAATATACAAACATTTTCTAATGTAATTTTAAAAATATATTATCGTCGGTATTGCAATAACAAACCATTTTTGAAATAAAAAAAATCTGGAACAACACACAGCGAAAATTGTTGAAGTTCAAGAGAAAAAGACCAATTGAGGCGAATTTGAAGGTGATCTTCATTGTGATGTGAGCCCGTTGGCTTATTCCGTTGAATGTCCTCTACTGTGTTATAAGAAAGGAAAAAAAAAATAGGTACAATTTGTTAAGTCCATGGCAAAAGTTGAAACACACAACCTTGTATATCGACAGAAACAATTTTGCGATGATGTTTGACCCATTTGTCTTATCATAAGTTATCTTCCACAAATATGATGACACATGTTGTTGATATACGGTCCCCTTGTTGCATTTTGTTTTCAGAATGATAAAATACTTATGGGAAGACAACACACTGACATATATCTACCTCATCGACTTCATTTTATATCATATTAATCAGCGATTTGAAATTGTGTCATGATCATCCACATCATCTACAAAGTAGTGTGTAGTTTTATTATTGCAAATGTATTATTATGGGTTTTATTTATAAATGGAATATTAATCAGAGGAATTTTTAGAAACCTAGTTTCCTAAATAATTTTTATTTTTGTGGTGAAAAAGTTAACCCACAATGTATAAAGTAAGCACGCTTACAACGGTAAAGTAGTTTTGGCAATGAGAGTAAAAAACCAATACAGCATCAATTATGAACGAAAAAACAAGTTCTTTGTAACGTCAGCTGTGTCCTAGACCGATATTCTTGACTTCTTATAGAGTATTTATGAACAAAATGCACTAAAATTCAGTACTTTTCAGAATTTCAGTCACTGTACAAGTGTTTTCTAATTAAAATGAAGCACCGTGATTTAGTCGTTATAGTATTATTACATTTAAATGTTATGTTACGTAGTGTAGTTACACGTCCTGCAGAACTCGATTCGTTAATTGGTAACTTTCGGCATTTCCGAATGGAGGCTTTCAATTTACTAAACGAGACGGTTTCAGATGAGCAAAATTTAAGATTATTAAAACAAAGCGGTGTTAGTTTTTATTTCCAAAACAATATTTTTGTTATGAGTTTGAATTTTTAGAAAGTACAACGTTTCGTAAGAAAAAAAACTCCGTGTCCCTTGAACAATACCAAAAGTGCCCAAACTCCAGAAAGTGTTCATAAACTCCGGCCAGGAGATATTGATGTTATTGCTGGTATTGGTGATAGTCTAACAGCAGGTGTTGGGTTGTTGGCTACGAATGTTATGCATGTGTCTTTAGAACATAGGGGTATAGCTGTAACAGCAGGTATTGGTCAAGATGATTTATAAAAATTAGGTACGATGAAATTGTATTTTAGGTGGGAAGGGTTCGTGGCGCAAATATTTAACTTTGCCAAATATGTTAAAAAATTTTAATCCTAATTTAACTGGATACGCTACAGAAACTTCGCTTACTCTTCATAATGAGTCCCATTTAAATGTGGGTGAAACCGCCTCTATGTCAGAAGATATGCCTTATATGACGAGGGTGGTAATTAAGAGAATGATGGAAGATGATCGTATTGATATTAAGAAGCACTGGAAGGTGAGTTTTAAAATTTAATAAAAGTCAGGGTTTAGACTTAGTTTTTTTTTAATTGTCATTAGTATGTTTGAGAAAAAAGTACGTGCTTCCATAAGATATTGGGCCCGTTGCTACGATAAACCGGACAAGAATTGGCACCTACTCAAACTCTTGTTTCCATATTTTTCATTTGGATGTTTTTTAAAGAAGAAGAATCAAACAAAGTTTATGGTCACTGTCTTTTAAAATCTTAACACAACACTCTCAACGAATGATGTATAATAAAGCAGCAATTAGATTTTCCGTAAGCGCTGCAGGCCATTATATTACCACTCATTCGTCTAGAGAACCAGTCGGTACCACTTCTTGTCGGTTTTAGCGTAGCAACACCCTTAATAACTGATGTTCTGATGAATTAAGATTGGATTAACCCACACAAAAACACTCACAAGGTTGACTTGTGAAATCGTACTTTTATATTGTTGATTTAAAGGTAAACTTTAACATATAAAGTGATTCAGTTTGCTCATTTATTTCTGAAATTATTAAACAAATGCAGCCTGTTATTTATAGTTATCAAGTGCTTTTGGAAGTGCCTATCAAGCTTTCTTTAAAGAAACCCATACATCTTTCGCTTCTATTAGGAAAAGCACTTCGTCAGTTAATCAGATCAGTTATTTATATCCTCCTAATTATATACCTTCATTTAAATTTGATATTCCCTTTTGTTTAGTTTTTTTAATTATTCATATTTGTAATTACTGCTAAATACAGCCTTGCTTTTAATGAAAGAGAAGTAGAAGAAGCACGAATCGGAATGGCTGTCATGACATTTGGAAGTCCTCAAGATATTTCGATCTGAAACTGACTCGAATTTTTTTAGGGCTTTGTTTAATGAAAAGTACATTTTGCAATTTTTATAGACGCAGAAGATTTGAAAGAAGATCATGCCAACGTGCAAATCAAAGTTTCCTTTGAAAAACAAGCACACCGTGAGTTATAAACAAGTTTAACTCTGTCTTATATGTTTTTTTTATCAACTATTAAAATTATGAGTGCATCAACAAATCTCATATAACCAACTAAACAATAGAGAAGATGTTCAAAATTCCTGCCTTGTCCATATAACTAAGCTCGTAATGTTTCCAATTTTGATCATTTTTTGTGAAAGTTAGTCATCAGTACTTGCTAAGATAAAACTGATTTTGACAAATGACATACCTTTAGGAAAAGTGAGGGTGGGTGGCCGGGGCTAGTATCTGTTAAGATAAGAGTGATTTTGGCAAATGAGATACCCTCTAAGAAAAGAGAGAGCGGGTGGGCGGAGCTAGAACCTGTTAAGATAATACTGTTTTTAGCGAACGACGTATCCTCTTAAGAAATTTAATTAAATTATTATAAGAAAATACACTAGGGCCCCAAAGCACTTTCAAATTTTTTCCAAACAGGAATACCTAGAACCTCAAGATTGTTTGAAATTTAAATTACAAAAACAGAACACCAAAGTCCCCAAAATTCTTTTAAATAATTTACAAAAAAAATCTTTATTGGCTCGCAAAATAATACACCATGGGTACCCAAACACTGCGGCACTCAAGACTTTTACAAATTCGTAAAAAATAAAATCATTAGAATTCCACCAAAATATGAGAAGGAATTTTTTTACTACTTTTCCCAAACTCACTAGCTGATTGTTAACAGTGTAGCGGAGAGTTAATCCGCCATTTTCCAGACACCCGGTATATATGGTATGGTGTGTATAAAAATGTGACTTAGCAATTATCAGAACTTCTCTCGTCTCTCAAGTACAGTTAAATAAATTCAATAGTTTTTTCTAATTATGTTCTTCTATGGAATGGGAGTGGAAACTGAATCTAGAATGTGAAAAAAGTAAAAAAAAGCGGTAATTGTATTTTTTTTTTGTTATACTATTTGTTACGGAACTGTAAAAATTGCTATATTTCAACAGGCGATCTTGGAAAAACAATTGAAATTTTCTAAGAAACGAAGCCGAAAATAACTTAGATTTTCTTATTTTTTCCCTTTAATTTATTAATTACTTACACATGAAAATATCATAAAGAAACAAAAGTAAGAGAGGAATGAAAAAAAAGAGGGAAACAATTATACTTACAATTATTATTATTGTCAAGTTTCTGTCCGTTGTGTCCGGGATTTGTGTTTTTCCTGTCATAATACCACAACCCACATTAAATGCGCATTTATATTATCTCTGTTATTTGAAGCTAGAAATAGAATCCATTTAGATGTTGTAGTGTTGCTAATAAGAAATGAATTTCATATTAAACTGTTAATTATATCTATGTACACAATTTATTACTAGTATAATGTGTTGCCTATCTTTAGATTCTGTCCACAGCATAGATAACAATCAGTAGAGACAGCTCGTGTCGGCGCCTTTGTTCTTTCTGACCCGAATTTTAAGCCGTCATCGGTGGTCGTTGCCTAAACTATTCCTAGATGTCGCCACCCAATTTAAAAAGTATCACTTCATTTACAATTTCAAAAATTGATTCGTGTACGCAATTTATTGCAAACTGTCTAGTTTGCTCAAATCGTATAATCGTGAATCACAATAAGAAAAAAGAAAAGTCCATATTTAATTTATAAACACGATGATTTGTTACAGTTTTTATTTTATTCATAACCACCGTTGTTGTTCGTTTGCGACGACTTTTTAAACAAAAAATGTGTTATGTTTACTATCTTTTCCAAGAATTCCAAACACGAGGGAGAGAATAAGACGCACAACAGGGATCCGGTATGAAAATTCATCGGACAAAGATTTTACCTTTTATTGTGAAAATTACATTTTTATACTATTTGTACAATTCTACCGGAAAAGCAGTCTTAAACAAGCAAAACTGGGAAAAATATTGTAACAAAACTGCCAAATTTCAAATATTTTAGACGTCAGTTGGGCGCCCTCATTCGGTCATAATGCGAACGACCACCAACGAAAACGGGTCACGAAAAACGGCGAGCCGTCTCTACTGATTGATATCTATGCTGTGTTCTGTCTGTTGTAGTTGCTGGAGTTAAATACCCACCCATAATTCAGTATGATTCAAAATATTTCTCATAGGATCAAAACATTTTTATGTGTGTCTGTTCCACTTCATCCCACAGAATTCCGAAATAAGGGTGAAAAATCTAAATAATATAAAACAACCGTTATAATTATATTATTGTCATTGCGGACATTTTTATTTGTCAGTTTTATCGCTCAATCTAATAGCAAAATTGAGATTTTGGGTACCACGTCACTAGCCCGCCATTAGTGTACCTATATGTATAAAGGGCGATTATGTGGCAATCATTTTGCAAGGGATCAATGGATAATTTTGCCCAAAAAACTTAAAAACCTGAGTTAATTGATTTTTAATGAAATCGTTTTAATTATTTCTTCTAAATCTTGTCCACTTGCGACGCTACTGTTTTTTTGACATTTATTTGACGGAATTTTGGATCAAAAATTGCTGTCACGTGTCATCGTTTGCTCTACCCTTATTTATATATACTACCAGACAAAAAAACACGGACACTTGAGTATTTGCAACTTTACGCTGATCTTTAATGTTACGTTTTTTAATTTTTTTCTGTTTGCACATGTTTTAGAATAAAGTTATGTTTTCTGTTAATGAATACATTAATGTCCGACGAATCGCAGGTAGTCATAAAAAATTCAAGTGTCAGGGTTTTTTTGCCTCTTCAGTACGTTATGTTCGGCAGTCCCAAAAATATAATGAAAAATTCTTTATGATGTAGATTGCGAAAAAAAGAGTTAATCTGCCATTTTCTAGACACCCGGTATAGGTACAGTAGCTGCCATCTTCCATCACGTTTGTTAGGCGCCCTTATATGAAAATTGACAACTGAGAACTGGTAATATACCAATAAATCAAGATTGCCAAAACAAAAATTTGCTTCGATTATTAATTCGGTAGTATGTAGTCATCCGGTATTTTTAGCATGCAAGAATAAACACAAAATATCTATATAAAAAAAAGAAAGGTAATACTGAATTCTGCGCCATTAGGAGGAAGAATTAATGATCGAATATTCTGAATTTCCCCGTTTGACAGTTACGGTAAAATCCTGTCAAATAGGGTCCAATAGCTGCAATACCAACATCATTATTTTAAAAATAAATTTCATGGTCTACTAGGGGACCATTTTTTCGATCATATGCTACACTGAAGGCAAAATAGTGTGACTGTGAACCACAGAGTTTTTAAAAAACTCAATAAAAATTTTGGTTCAGTAATTAAAAAAATAGTGGGTTATGAAGTTGCTGACCTTAACTGTAAATTTGTTCATAAAAATTTATTTTTTTAGAACAACGCACTGTTCTTATCTGTAAAACTAAGGGTGGGATTAATAAACCACAGACACTTCATTGTAGTTAGATTTACTCAATGAAAGTTTTAGATGACGTCATCCAATTTTTGTAGAGAATATATTGATGAAATTTTTGAATTTGCATCACGTTATATGTCTAATTTAAATTAAATAAATTGGAACATGTGAAAGGACAAATCGTTAGATTATCATAAATTGTATATTAGTAAATATATAATAACCGGAAAAATGCAGAAATAGTAAATCCAAAAAAATGAAGGAAGTAAATGGTGTTTATTTTTATTTTATAAACCTACAAAACAATACAGTACGAAGTTAATTGTCTAACACTCCCGAAAAAGGAGTTTTGTACGTGAAAATTGTGACAATTGCGTACCACGATACGAAAAGTTGGTTTGTAATATTCCAAACTGGAGCACGTGAAAGGACAAATCGTTAGACTATAAGTCAGTTTTATGTGTAAATATGTAGGATTAAAAAGTTTCTGTTTTATATAGATGGTGACTTTCATGATCGGACCGAACGACTTTTGCAGCCAAATATGTTTTGAAAACGACTTTCAAAAAACTTTGGACAAACATAGAAAAGAACTGAGACAAGTTTTAGCCACACTGAAGCAAAACTTACCGAGAACTATAGTCAATTTAATACCACCACCAAGTAAGTATATTTGGACTTTTCTACTCTGAAACTAAGACTAATTAAGTGCAGATTTAAAATTTCTGATTGACATGACTGGGAAATCGATGGTGTGTCACATGCAGCACTTAATGGAGTGTCCGTGTTTATTTGGACCTGTGAGAAAAAACAATCAGGAAAGCTACGTTAGATTAATGGAACTATGGCAAAAAATTGATGTGGAATTGGGAGAGGATCCCGAATTTGACACTGATGATTTTACAGTAGTTGTACAACCTTTCACACTTGAATTTTTCACGCCAAATACGACAGAGGGAACAACTGATTATACCTATTTCTCAGAAGACTGTTTTCATCTAAGTCAAAAAGGGAACGCGAGAAGTAAGTTTGTCCATACTTTTTCATGATTTATTGATTTACTTACTTATTTGAAATAAACAGTAGCTAACTCTCTTTGGAATAACATTATGGAACCAGTTGGAATGAAATCGAGAAAACCAGTTGAACTGTTTAACATCAAGTGCCCTTCACAACAATATCCATTTATTTTCACACGAAGAAATAGCGTAAGGTAGTTTTAACAAAAATAAATTGCTAAGTTTCCCGTTGTTTTATTTTTCCGTTTGACTGCCTGATTTCATTAGAGCGTTATGCCATTTTCTCATTTATTTTATGATAATCAATTAGTTTTTTGCAATTGATTGTTGGGAAAACCGACAGTTAAATAATGTTATTAAAAATGAGTCAACTTAAAATTTGGGTATCCATAGCCGATTAAAAGAATTGCTCAACGACCTCAACCCTACAAGACAAGTGAAAGTGTCTTCTGCATGATTCGGCAACACAAATAATATCATATAACACCCGTTACCCCACCTCAAGAACTGTGCACATAGTGTGGATAAATTTTTTTCTTTTATAACTTGTTCGGCACACAGTGGTCACAATTCGGCAAAATCCCCAACTATGAAATCGAAGTGAAAAATAGTGTTATTATTTTCGTTAACATGTTTTGTGAGTGAATAAAATATCTGTATATAAGAAAAATAACAAAATTGGCAATTTTTTGGTACGTAAACATTGTATTGTTATAAACACCAAATTAAATTTAATTAATTCGTTTTAAATTTTTGTTTTGTTTACAATAAACTGACATAAATTAAAACTAGTATGTAAATTTCCGGAAAAATTTTATTAATTAGTTTACTTATATTTTAAATGTTTTATACATATAAATTTTCGGTGGAGATTTTGTTTTTTTGTGCACACGTTAAAATTAGAATAAATAGAAAGTATTAAAAAATTAAAAGCAGCGTGGTCTCAAAAATCCCACATTGAGTAATTAAATGACTCTTGCATAAGTGGGCATTTTGTATTGAAAATTAATTGCTTTTAGCATCTTCATTTTCTTTTCATTGATAAGAACTAACCCCAATAAGCACATCATTAATGACACAATAAGTATAACATAGAATTATTATTACTCAATCAATCGATCGGCATTCAAAACTGAAGACTTGCATAAAGGCTGAGCAATTTTGTAAATTTCCATAACCGACTTGCCAAATTATAAGATACATCAGGAGTTTGTTATGCAGAACTCGTATGGTTAACCTAGATCTTGATTTATTGTGCAATCAAACGTGCGGTTAAAGACAATAAAATACTACAGATCTTACCATAAAACGATTTTACTATAAATCATGTCCTTACACAATTTTTATCATTAACCGTTATCCACGTGGGAGAAATTGCAGCAATTAGTTTAACAATGAGAGAGTTTAAGTAAAATTCAAACTAAAGTCGTACTTTTGCAGGTTTCTTTGAAAATGTTCTTCCGGGTTTTCGATTATGGAGTGTTGGCAATCGGTTTATGTTTGCTAAGTGTATTGACCAAAACGCAAATAATTGGAAACAGGAAACCAGAAAGAGCAAATTTTGTCAAGAGTAATGTAAGTATAAGTAAATAAATGTTGCGTATGCTAAAAATGTTGTAATCTTATCGAAATCAGGATCCGGATCGATCAGTTAAACGGAACTCATTAAAACGACCAAATAAGTGTATTGTTTTTTTCGTTTTCTTTATGTTGTAACCTTGCGACTGGTTTTTCCACATAACACTTTGATAAATTTCATGTAATTTTGTTTCATCACACGAAGTGATAAGTTGTTCGTATAAAAAGCATCAATTACAAGAATTGCAGCAATTCGCAGCTTTTGTAATTATATAGCTGGTGAAGACACGTGTGTTTTTTGTATGATGATAGAAAAAAGCTTATCTTCATCATCATTCAACTACATATTTATTTAGACAGTTTTGTTTAAAAGAAAGTTCATTAAAATGATACGCAAATGCGTACCTACACATAATAATGAGATCTGAATTCTGAAAGTTATCAGGGTTTTTTCAGTTCACGTAATATATTCCAAGTCATACTCAAATTAACAAACAATGCCAGACATGTGTCGCGTCTATTTTCACTCATTAATTTCTTTGTCACATATGTCAAGGTAACGCGTATAGATTTTCATACAGGTAGCGTGCCCTAACCCACTTCCGAAACCAATTCAGTTTAATTTTAATCCTCTAGCTTTTCTTTTTTGTTTATTGACAAGTTGAAAATTGTTGTAGCGTCTTTCTTAAAGATTATATATATTTTGATATTTTGTCAATTAACGAACAAGGAAATTAGTCGTTTAAACCAAAGTGCAAAAGAGAAATAGTTATTGTAACAATAAATTTGTTACAAATACTGTAATTTTATTTTATAATAATTTTCCAAATAATGTCAAATTTTGACAAAATAACGTATAATTTTCACATAGGCAACATATCATATCAAAGTATGTAATAGGGCGTCAAAATTTATACCTTGAATTTTTTTTCATTTTTTATCTATTCTGCATATTAATAGATGGTTGGCATACAGACGCGTTGAATAGAGAGGTGTATATATTGACGGAAATGAAAAATTGCATTCTCGTATCTTAAGACCTATGAAACAAGATTAAAATGGAAAATATTATAAGAGAAGTAAAAAATTGGTCTTATGTCATCAGACAAAGCTGAAGTACAATCAAACAAATCCAGTATTTTCGAAAAACAAATATAGCCACCTAAATTTACAAGGGACCCAACAATCTGAGATATGTAGAACATGTGTTATTACATGAATTTAAAGAAGTAAAAATGTGTCTTATATATAATTGTTATGATTATGTGTTTTTTCGTTATTTTTAATTATTTGTTGACATACAACCTAATTAAAATAGTGCATCCACATGTTCAAGGCGAAATCAAAACGCAAAGTCTAGAAGATAGCTTTCCACGTGTGCAATTAATATAATATTTTGTGCATATTCTTTTTATCACAGCAACAATGTTTGTATTTTAAACTAGTAAGAAAGTTTTCAAAAAAATTTAATGAGTCATGTTTTTAATCACCTGATCACTCCACAGTCATTTTTAGGAGAGTCGCCAAAAGCATTAGCTTCATATTTTTTCTTGAGATAGATGACAAATTACTAAATCGTAATAATACCGCTTTTTAGAACGTATAGTTCAGGGTTATTTGATCATTTGACGTTACAATTTTCAGAAAATCGAAAGAAATTTTAATTATTACTTACCTTTTTTAACAATATGCTGATATATCAGCATTTTTTAGGCAGATGAAGAAGATAAGTGTATTCTTAAAATTTCAACGTAATTTTATGTAGCTTCAGAAATTACCTTCTTAATAGATGATCGGCAAACAGAAACGCGGTGTATACAGGCTAGCAACAAGAACGAAAATAGGAATATTACACGTACCCCTTAAATAAAAAAACGACCTGTTCGAGCATTTTTCACATAAACAAGTACAGCGTCTACGGTCCCGTCTGTTTCGTTTTATTTGGGCCACCCTGTATATTGATGGAAATGAAAAATTATATTCTCGTATCCTAGAACTTATGAAACACAATTAAACTGGAAAATATTATAAGAGAAGCAAAAAATTGGCCTTCCTTGTTTTCCCTTGCTCCTGAAGTACGATCAAAGAAATCCAGTGTTTTCGAAAAACAAATATAGATATAGTCACGGTGTAAGAAAACATAAAGTGGTTCAACTAAACTTACAGTCCTAGAGATCCTTGCATCGCTTCCGGTCTTTGGGTTTCCTTTTTCTGACAATTATTTGTCTGTCTCGAATGTTCTGCATCTTCTCCGAGGTTCCTTCTTCTTTTTCTCCCTTCTGTCTTTGCCCATGCAATTTTTTTTATTGTTCTTGTATTTTCCATACGTTCGAGATGCACTAACCATTGTAAACTTTTGTTCTCTACCATTTCGTATACGTTCGCTTCGCTAAATAACTCGTACATCTCTTTATTTGTTCCATTTTCCGATCCGTCTTCTGTTTTTTTTTCTCCATAGATTTTTTTATTTTATTTTGTTCTCTTTTGTGAGTGTTCATGCTTCACTTAGGTGTCGCTCTTATTGTTTTGTGCGTTATTTTCTTTACTGCACGCAATGGTACTTTGATTTTATTAGCCCATGTAATGTACCTACTCGTACTACGCATCTGTTACTTTTCGCCAGTCCACATTCACTAATTTTTTTAGATAATGCTTTTTTAAATCTTTGATTAGTTCTTTTATTCACAGTATCGTAGGCTGATGGGAAAACCAATAATAAAAAAATAAATAATTAAAAGGCTGAGATTTCGTCCTCGTAACAGGTAGTCAGAGTCTGTTTTAGGGTTAAAATTTAATTTGTCGTTACTTTGCTATCCGAAAACTTACCTGGTACGTTCTTAAAATTTTGTGAATGGGTCTTATCTTTGCTTTTCAAGTTAGGATCAACTTTTTAGTGTTTCATATTTCTTTTATCAGCTTTGTTACTCTTTGTGTCAGTGATGTTCCTCTCCGTATTTAAAATGTTCTGCTATTTAACCCTGAGCTTTTATTGTTTTTCATATTATTAATTATTTCTTCCATTTTTTCCCTAGATTCTTGTAAGTATCTCAGTTAGATTTTGCGACGAAATTCCAGTGGGACGGACTCTCCGGAATCTCGCCGATAACGTGTGGTGCCGGCGTACTTGGGTGCCAAGTCTTAGGCCGATTAGTGTCGCTGGACGACCTAAGCTTATGCGGCGACCTTCACACCGCCGGGGTGGAGCCTTTGGTCAGGCGTGGCGACCGTCGACCGTCGGGTGCCAGCTCCCTTTCGGGGGAGGAAGCGCCGGGGTTGCTCTCAAGCCGGAGATACGGATCTCAGGTGGTGAGCGCCCGCGAAAACAAGATAATAAAATAAAACGGCAAGGAATATTTTAAACAATAAATCGGCTTTATTCCTTGCCACGGCTAAGATAATAAAACCTACGGCTAAACTTAATTTAACTAAATATAAAGCGGTTTTACAAAAAAAAAAGAATAAGAACAAGACGTTCGGCACGGTCGTTCCTCCTGGGCGGCGACTTCCTAATCTTTCCATCTATGTTCTTGTTTGCTTCCAAAAAGTTTACCTTCTTTATTTTTGAAGTAAATTTCTTGATTTGTATTTTATTTGTATTTTTTTAGATCTTTACAGAAATTCTTAATCTCGTGTTTTTTATAGCTGCGTTCTATTTGCTCTAATTTCTCGTTTTGGTTTTGACTTTTTTCCTTCTGAAGAATGTGTCTTTTTTCTCTTACATTATCATAAACGGTTGTTATACAGGTACGGTAAGCAAAATTTGAAGGTTATCTATATGATATTTCTGACATACACATACGATCTGACAGCGGTCGGTCCGATAGTTTCGGAGATTACCTGTCTAATAAAAATTGACACAGATGATAGACAGACTGAAACAGGAGATCTATTTTTCCAAACCCTGGGAGTCATGAAACGTCGAGAAAACATGAAAGCAGCCATTTGCAGCATGGAACCTATTACAATACTTCCTAAGCTTAATAATACTTGAAGCAAATTTTGAGTTGCCAATTCTGAATGTTGGCCTGTCAGTTCACAGTTGTCAATTTTGACATAAACCCGCATAAAAACCAATGAGAATCACAAACAATAATAGTGACATAGGGAAAAATTGGAACAAATGTTCTATAAGTACTGAATAATCATGCCTAGAGCAACAATCAGAGAAGAAACAATTCTTAACAGATTTTCAGGAATAATTGTAACAGTGATCACGATCAGACTTGTACGACTGCACTGATAGCAACAAAAACTGGTCTAAAGTTATTTAGACCGAGAAAACTTTCCCCACACCCCACCTGAACACAAACATTGAAATAAATTCAGTATATTTATTAGAAAGAAGAAAAACGAGGATGGCATACAAACTTAAGTCCACAGAGCGCCAGTTGCTCAAATTTGTAATTGTGATTAAAAATTAAGGCAGATTCATAAACCACAAAATGATAAGCTGACGTCATAAAATTGTTAGTGTGGATGATTAGACAAATTTTAGTCAGCATTTTAACATTTACATATCAGTCCTATCTTAGGTAGTACTAGTACCGCCCACCCGCCCTCTATTTTTTCAGATGGTATATAATTTGCCAAAGTTCATGTTATCTTATCAAGCATTAGTTCTACTCACGTCCGTTTTATTTTCTTAGATGGCATATAATTTGCCAAAATCAGTCTTATCTTAGCAAGCACTAGCCCCGTCTACCCGCCCATTATATTTTTACAGGAAATGCCATTTTCCAAAATCAGTCATATCTCTGGAAGTACTATCCCCGCCCACACGCCCTCTATTTTCTTAGACGGTATATCATTTGCCAAAATCAGACTTATCATAGTAAATACTAGCCCCGCCCACCCACCCTTTATTTTGTTAGAGGGTATGTCATTTGCCAAAATCAGCCTTATCTTAGCAATATCTTAGCAAGTACTAGCTCCGTCCACGCCCCTTTATTTTCTTAGATAGTACATAATTTGCCAAAATTAGTCTTATTTTAGCAAGTACTAACCCTGCCCATACACCCTTTATTTTTTTAAAGGGTATGTCATTTGCCAAAATCAGTGATATCCTAGGGAGTACTATCCCCACCCGCTCGCCCTCTGTTTTGTTAGAGGGTACATTATTTGCCAAAGTCAGTCTTATTGTAGCAAGTACTAGCCCCACCCACCCGCCCTCTATTTTCATAAAGGGTATATTATTTGCCAAAATCAGTCTTATCGTAGCAAGTACTAGCTCCACTCACCAGCCCTTTATTTTCTTAGAAGGTATATCATTTTATATCTTAGAAAGTGCTAACCCCACCCAGCCGCCCTCTATTTTCTTAGAAGGTTCATCATTTACCAAAATATTCATAACTCACAACATATATATATATATATATACGTCAATAATAACTTTTGGCCTCGCGCCAGATTTAGGCAACAAGTAATGGGAGTATATGAAAACCACATCCTAGCCTCAAACCTGTCATATCAGTGTTCAAATTTGTATTTATGGTTGCATCATTTACAACAACCGAATGCTTGACACGTTGTAAAGTAGGTAAATATGTATTTGGAGTTATAGTTTAAACTGTTTTCGAGTAAAAGAAAGAAAAAGTGGTATGAATCAGTTTATTCAGAAACAATTTTTTGGAATTAAAACAGCCACATAGAGGCTGAAGAAATTAAGATAATCAAAGAGAAAAGAAAACAACTTAAAACTAGGAAAGCTTACTTCGTAGTAAGTGCAATTATATTCTATGAACATTTAATACTACTATAAAACACCAAAGTAGATTATTCATATTTCTTATGAAGTTAGAGATTGCAATTATTAACAAAGTTGACAACGTATGGATAAAGTTAAATATATATCTTTTAGTCAAAAGAGGTGTCTGCATAATTTGTTACAGTGTGTTTGCAGGTATATTTGTACAATGCAGCAGCTGCTGCATTCACTATCCAAATGTAATGTATAAATAATGATTTGTCTGGTGTATGGTGCGGTCTTAAAATTAGGTATTTTTACTATATTTCAATTGGATAAATATTTTTACACATATTTGTAAATTCTCGTGCTTTGCCAGTTTTAGACGTTGGAATTTTAATTATTAGCGTATCGTTTTTGTCTTGAATGCCGTCATTATTTTTCAATTTATCCATTCCACATGCTCCTACAACTTCTAATAAAAAATAAACCTAAAACATAATGATTTATAGACAATGTGATTGACCTTGTTTGAGATCACCTTTAACATCATGTACATTTAATCACGGGCTTCTGTTAAAAATTTTGGTAAGTCTTCTCTTGTAAATATATTTGATTTCTTGGCAATGTAACCTATATTTTTTGCTTGAAAACTTGGTGTACTTAGATATATCTATGCTGTTTTTTATTAACAGAGTTGACTTTAACTACGACTATGCAGCCCAAAGTGTTAAAGATTTCACAGAATTTGCTTTTTCAGCGAAATACTCGTATGCAATGAGGTGTTCTCCATATATTTTGCATGGTTGTTTCTGCGCAAAAAAAAAAAAAATTCATACCGCTTTTCATAAACTGTGGCTGAGTTTTTAGGTAATAAATTTGATATATTATCTGCCAGTTTTTGCAAGTTCGGTCGAATGCATGTAAACTGCTTGTTATTATTGCTATCCATCTCTATTTTGCAATTGCTGCAGATCTTTCTGCAAGCAAAAATATTAAAAGTGCCGAAAAATAAGAGGTATGCTTCATACTTTCATTTAAAATGGGCATGTAAGCTAATAATCTGTTCTGTAATAATAATAAAAGCTTATTATAGGTTATGTAGATACAAGAAAATTGTTCAAATTCTTCCTTTCCGCATACTCCTACAACTTCGAATAAAAAATATACCTAAAACATTATGTTTTATAGACAATGTGATTGACCTTCTTTGAGATTACCTTTGACATTAGGTACATTAATCACGGGCCTCTGTTAAAAATTTTCGTAAGTTTTCTCTTGTAAATATATTTGATTTCTGGGAAACATAACCTATATTTTTTGCTTGAGAACTTGGTGTACTTAGATTATATCTATGCTGTTTTATATTAACAGAGTTGACTTTAACAACGACTATGTAGCCCAAAATGTTGATTTCACAGAATTTTCTTTTTCAGCGAAATACTCGTATGCAAAATGAGATATTCTCCATATAATGTTTTCCATGGTTGTTTCTGCACCGAACAAAAACTTATTACAGGTTATGTGGATACCAAGATACATAGAAAGTATGTATCTTGGTGGATACACATTGTTCGCTGCCATAGAATGTCGCTGCACTTCAAGAAATCCGCTGTTGCCATGCAAGGTTGCGACGTTGCGAGATTACGCGCAAATGTAGTTAATAAATTATATTTATAAAATTAATAAACCGGATGTGTTTCTAATAACTAATAAAAAGGGTTATCAAAGAGTATAGAATTACTGCTAAACCGAAAAACAATTTATAACCTTGTAAAATGTAATTGTGGAGGTAGATAATACTAATATGACAACACCGCATTTAATTTCTGTGCCGATTTTTGAACATAGAAAAAGCACATTACTGCGCGATTTCGAAAAAAGAAACATTACTATTTTTTAGCAGCTTTTAACCTCTCTTTTTATATTTCTCCAAGAAAGGCGTACATGTCAATTTTAAAATACCAGTTTAAGTTGGAGTAAGAAATTTACTTTTATGGTTGTGTGTACAGGCACTTCTACAATTAGCAGTACAAGTTTTTGTTAATCTCTTAAATTATTTTTCTACTTATGGAGCCAATCTGGATATTTGCTTAAGGGTGTGCTTTAATGTTAGGAATTAATATCTTGGAACGTCATGCATCGTTTCCATACATTTTTGAGCTTCTGTTTTATTTTCTAATCACTTGGAATTTCATTTCCAAAAACAAAAATTGTACTTGAAATGATAGATATGAAGCTCATTATTCCGAAACATGTAATTATAAGATCAAATGTTACTATGCATGAAATGTATTATTTGATATAAAGTAACTTTTGATATCGCATTCTTTAGATTTTTTTCATGGGTACTTTACAGTTAATAGTATCACCATGAAATTGTTTCTTAGATTTGTTTTTCTTTCTTCCGGTATTTGAATCACAATTTGATAATCTTAAAACAACGACAATTAATTTAACTTTAGCTTGAGTTGTGAACCTGAAAGTTGTTTTGTATGAATTTGTGTGACAAAAGTGTACTAAAGATGAAAATAATTACTTATACTCTTTTATAATCATTAATTACATTTGTAGCAATTTTTGGCCTCTCGTATTTTATATTATTTTATCCAAGAAACAAGCGAAATTTGAAAAACCAGTTTAATATTTTAATGGAGCAGTAATTATGAACCCAAATGTTGCTATGGATAAAAACTATTATTTGATTTAAATTAACTTTTGGAATCACAGTCTTTGGATTTTTTTCGTAGATACTCCACAGTAAACAACATAATTATAAATCTGTCCCTTTGATTTATTAATTTCTCAATCCGCCGATATTTGAAAGACGATTTGGTATTCTTAAAACAAGGGTTACTAATTTAATGTCCCCTTGGACTGTGAGCCTGAAAGTTGTTTTGTATGAATCCATATGGGGTCAAAGTGTACTAAAGATGAAAAGAATGACTTCGTTTATAGCAACTTTTGGCCTCTCGTGTTTAATATTTCTCCAAGAATGTTTTTAATTTTGTAAGATATTGGGCCAATAAAACATACACAGACAACATTATTTGCAATTCTTCCAACCACCTATGGATTCATAAAATATCAACTTTTGCATCTTTAATTGAAATATTGTTCAATTCTAATCTAAACCATGAAAACTATAATAAAGAACTTCAGTCCATAAAACAAATTGCAATAAATAATGACTTTAAAGTAAAATTAATCCACAATCTAATTGACAAAATAAGATACAAAATTAAAAAAAAAACAATGTTGCTCGTTGTTCAAAACGGACCATGATACTAAGGAAGACATAGGTAGATATTATTTTCTGGATTTTATTGAAACATTATCTTACAAAATTAAAAACATACTAAATAGAGTGAATAAAAGTGTTAATATTTCATTTATAAAAATTAATTCAACCAGAAATCAGTTACTGAACAACAAAGATAAAATTACTTAACTAGATAAAGCCGGAGTCTATCAATTACAATTTGAATGTTGAGATTGTGCCTTAAATTTTACGAATCCATATCGTGAAATAATACACCTCATGAATTTCACCGGCTTGTGTTGAAATTTCGGGTTTCCAATTTTAAATTTATTAATCTAGTACTTCGTTCCAAAAACAAAATTGTGCCCGGAATGATGGGTTAATTACCTGTTTTCACATATACGAAGCGCACGAGTCCGAAAGTTACCTAACATGCAATTATGAGGCTAAATGTTGCTATGGATGAAAACTATTATTTGACTTAAAGTAACTTTTGGCATCACAGTCTTTAGATCTTTTTTCATAGGTATTTTACACTTAACAATATCATTATGAATTTATTTCTTAGATTTATTTCTCAATCCACCAATATTTGTCTTAAGCTCATAGAAAATGTTTCGTCTTATGGAAAAAATCTGAATCTTTACACTTGGGGGTGTGCCTGAATATATAGCACCGAATATTGCCTCACATGAATTTTACTGCCTCGATTTGACCAAATTTTGGGTTTCCGATTTTAGATTTAATCATGTTCCTAGTACTTTAAGATATGTTAGCACATGAGTCCGAAATTATGAGGCCAAAAGTTTCTATGGATGAAAGCCATTATTTGATTTAAAGTAACTTTTGGCATCACAATCTTTAGATTCTTTTAATAGTTACTTCACAATTAATAACACAATTATGACTTTTTCTTTTAGGTTTATTTCTCTTATCTGTTATTAAAATAACTGCTATTAAGTTAATTTTAGCTTGGGTTGTAAGTTTGAAAGTTGTTTTCTACGATTCTGTGAGGCCAAAGTCTACAAAAGAAGAAAGTAATTTTAGGTTAGATGGTTAAACATTCAGCCAATTATTTGTTTTTATTTATACTACTTAAAAAATTTAAATTATCACTTTAACTTTGAATAAAAAAATATTTTTATGAATGAGTCTACAGATACTTCTACCATTCACGGTCTAATTTTGTCTTAACTTCATACAAAATGTTTCGTATTATTGAAAAAATCTGAATCTTTACACTTGGGGGTGTGCCTGATTATATAGCACCGAATATTGATTCACATGAATTTTACTGCCTCGATTTGTCCAAATTTTGGGTCTCCGATTTTAGATTTATTCATGTACCTTGTACTTTACTGTATGTTAGCACATGAGTCCGAAAGTTATTCGTCATTTAATTATGAGGCCAAAAGTTTCTATGGATGAATGCCATTATTTGATTTAAAGTAACTTTTGGCATCACAATCATTAGATTTTTTTAATAGTTACTTCACAATTAATAACACAATTATGACTTTTTCTTGTAGGTTTATTTCTCTTATTTGTCATTAAAATAACTGCTATTAAGTTAATTTTAGCTTGGGTTGTAAGTTTGGAAGTTGTTCTCTACGATTCTGTGAGGCCAAAGTCTACAAAAGATGAAAATAATTTTAGGTTAGATAGTTCAACATTCAGCCAATTATTTATTTTTATTTATACTATTTTCGTGTGGTATAGCAAGAATAATGGTCAAAAATCAAGTATTTTAGGATCAAAAAACGGCACATCATTTTCCAGATAATATTAACACTAATAAGTCTAAAAATCTAACCAAATATTGACTTTTTTAAAGTGTTATAAGTTTACTGACGAGGTGGCTGAGAAAGGGGATGAACCCTGAAACTGCTATCACCAAAATAGTATAAATAAAAATAAATAATTGGTTGATTGCAGAACTACATAACCCAACTTTATACCCACGCTAATATGGAAACACACATATCAAAATAATTAGCTCATTTATAGCAACTTTCGAACTCTCGTATTTTATATTTGTCTAATAAGTAGCAAGTACTTAAAAAATTTAAATTATCACTTTAACTTTAAATAAAAAAATATTTTTATGAATGCGTCTACAGATTCTTCTACCATTCACAGTCTAATTTTGTCTTAACTTCATACAAAATGTTTCGTATTATGGAAAAAATCTGAATATTTACACTTGGGGGTGTGCCTGAATATATAGCATCGAATATTGATTCACATGAATTTTACTACCTCGATTTGACCAAATTTTGGGTTTCCGATTTTAGATTTATTCATGTACCTTGTACTTTAATGTATGTTAGCACATGAGTCCGAAAGTTATTCGTCATGTAATTATGAGGCCAAAAGTTTCTATGGATGAAAGCCATTATTTGATTTAAAGTAACTTTTGGCATCACAATCTTTAGATTTTTTTTAATAGTTACTTCACAATTAATAATACAATTATGACTTTTTCTCGTAGGTTTATTTCTCTTATTTGTTATTAAAATAACTGCTGTTAAATTAATTTCAGCTTGGGTTGTAAGTTTGAAAGTTGTTTTCTACGAGTCTGTGAGGCCAAAGTCTACAAAAGATGAAAATAATTTTAGGTTAGATAGTTCAACACTCTGCCAATTATTTATTTTTATTTATACTATTTACATGTGGTAAGTATAGCAAGAATAATGGTCAACAATCAAGTATTTTAGGCTCAAAAAACGGCAGATCAAATTCCTGATAATATTAACACTAATAAGTCTAAAAATTTAACCAAATATTGACTTTTTTAAAGTGTTATAGGTTTACTGACGAGGTGGCTGAGGAAGGGGATGAACCCTGAAACTGGTATCACCAAAATAGTATAAATAAAAATAAATAATTGGTTGATTGCAGAACTACCTAACCCAACTTTATACCCACGCTAATATGGAAACAAACATATCAAAATAATTGGCTCATTAATAGCAACTTTGGACCTGTCGTCCTTTATATTTGGCTAAGTAGCAAGTATTTAAAAAATGTAAATTATCACTTTAACTTTGAATAAAACATATTTTTATGAATGCGTCTACAGATACTTCTACCATTCACAGTCTAATTTTGTTTTAACTTCATACAAAATGTTTCGTATTATGGAAAAAATCTGAATCTTTACACTTGGGGGTGTGCCTGAATATATAGCACAGAATATTGATTCACATGAATTTTACTGCCTCGATTTGACCAAATTTTGGGTTTCCGATTTTAGATTTATTCATGTACCTTGTACTTTAATGTATGT